TTTGTACAAACTGCTGTGACACAAAGGTGTTTGAAAGTCGGCCATGTTTCCAATTTTTGACCTTGAACCAAAATGGCCGCTAATTGGGCTTTCACTAAGTGACTGCAGCATTTTATTTTCTGTTTTTATTTTCTTGAGCTGTACTAAACTAAGTTAGGGACATTACCCCAGAAAATAAAATGCTGCAAACGTACGAGTTCCATTTATATTGTTATAATGAAGCACACATACACACTCAATTCACAGTCATGTATAAAAAAAAAAATTAGGTGTTATAAGTTGTAATTGGAGCCCGATTATGTGCAATTTAAAGGTCCAGAGTGAAGGATTTAGGGGGGTGTATTGACTGAAATGGAATATAATAAGTATGTTTTCTTTAGTGTATAATCACCTAAAAATAAGATTTATTGTGTTTTTGTTACCCTATAATGAGCTGTTTATATCTACATATAGAGGGGGTCCTCCTCCACAGAGTGCCATGTTGCACCGCCATGTTCCTACAGTAGCTCAGAGCAGTCAAACCAAACCAAACACTGGCTCTAGACAGGGGCTGTTGTGGCTTAGAAGGTGGAGTGAGTCGTCCACTCTTTGGAAGATCAGTGGCTTGATGCCACACTCCTACAGTCAGCATGTTCAAGTATCCTTGGGCAAGATACTGGAACCCAAAATGCTGCCAGTGGCTGTTCCATTGGTGGGTAAGGGTGTCTGTTACCTGTGTGGTAACCTCGCCACTGGTGTGTGAATATGCAATAAATGTGACATGTAGTGTAAAGAAAAGCTTTGAGTGGTAGGAAGACTAGGAAGGCGTTATACAAAAGCAGTCCATTTACCATTCACATTGGTCACTGTAGTTATATTTTATGTGAAACTGCTTTATTCAGTGTTTACCAGTTTAAATCACCGGGTCTGTTTGTTTTGGAGAAGAGGACACCTCAGTGGATAATTCAGCTCCCAGTAACCTACTCAATGTCTGGATCAGAAAATAAATGCGAAACAGCATAGGACAAAAACTGATTTGTGACATGAAACTGTTTTATTCAGTGTTTTTACCAGTTTTGATCACCTGGTCCGTTTGTTTTGAAGAGAAGGAGACCTCTGTGGATAATTCAGTTCCCGGTAAAAACCTACTGAACAGTGAACACTGAGGGAATCCTAACAAGGAGAAGTTTAGGTGGTTGCAATGTGTAAATCCTCACAGCTAGGTGCCACTAAATCCCCTTAAATCTCACACACTGTTCCTTTAAGAAACCTGTCTAATATAGTTTTTTGTATATTTAATATTTCTTTTTAATAAAGCAAAAGTATTTCTTATCTGATTGCTTGATTAATTGGTAGAATACTTGTTCACTAAAATAACTGATAGCTGCAGCCTGAGATTAATGTCATAGTTGACAACTAATCAGTTGTTGCAGCTGTAATTACTGTAACTCCTACTCAGGCCGGCTCACTTATCAGCTCATAATTTTGGTTTGGTGATTTTGGCTGAGTGCAAAATACCAATACCAATTTAAAATACCATTACACTTAAAATTGGCTTGAACCCTGAGCAGCAAAACAAGGTTATTATACAAATGACCAAGGCTGAAGTAGCAAAATAAGAAAAGTAGAGATAAAATGAGAATAATTACCTTGCATTTTTGTGTTTTGAATAATACTGAGTTTTGTAAATCATTAACTGTGGAGCACCAGCTGGTCAGAGGAGACAAAGTGGCACGACACGCAGCACTTCCTGTGTTTTCATCACACAGCCAATGGCTCGTGTTGATCTCGCTTGTTAAATGCTGGAGGGCATGAGTATGGATGAGCGTGTGCGTGTGTGTGTGTGTGTTTGTGTGCGTGTGAGTGACTCAGTTTGGATCTGTGTGAGCGTTTTACGTCCCCTTGATGGTGTGTTTAAGTTAGCTTAACTTGATACAGTTAATGCAGAGCAAATAGTCTGGTTTGGGGGTTGCTGTTATTGTATGGAGGGGACACAACGAGAGAGATCAACAGACACACACACTGCTGCACTTACCCAGGCACTTATGAAAGAATGTATACATGTTGAGTGGGAGCTGGGCTGCCATGGCTGGGGGTGTGTGTCCATTCACATCCACTCCAGAGATGGTTGGACCTTCAGCTAATTGTTCCTTTGCATGTGGACGGACTGAGTGTTCCCATAAACCTTTTAGTTATACGAACAAGCCGTCTGATGGTGTAACAGTAGCCTGCTGCTTGTTCCAAACAGTCAGGGCTCATTTGGGACCATCTCTTTCATAGAGCTGGTTTGACGACGTGCAACTGATGCCTCCGTCGGTCCCAGCGCAGATGAAAGAGAGTCAAGCTTTTAACTGCACTTACAGCAGACTCACTGTTTCCTAAATGGAAATAAGATCATTTAATTGGGTTTTATTACGGTTTTAGATAACATGTTACAGCCAAATAAAAAACGTCTTAGTCCTATTTGCAGCGGTATATCTCATGGCAGCAACATCCTGTGTGTGTGTGTGTGTGTGTGTGTGTGCTTGTGTGTGCTTGTGTGTGCTTGTGTGTAAGTGTGTGTGTTACACTGTTCCCTCCTGCTAATATTAGAGTTAGAGTGACCCAGCAGCCATCTCCTATTCTATTTTTTCCTCTCATGTTTTATCCTTCTCAGATGTGTGATGTGAGTGGGATAAACACACACACACACACACACACACACACACACACACTTTGACACAGTCATTCGTCAGCACAATCACAGCTCACAGCAGCTGATTGAATGAGTGAAAAATGTTTGGGTAAGATAAGCAGGATAATGTTAGTAGATTTTCTGCTCCGACTCTCCTGTTGAAATGCGTGTTGCACAGGAGCTGATAGGTTGAACATTAGAGGACGTGTGTGTGTGTAGTAGCATCGTAGCAGCTGGGCGAGCACACCTTTTATCTTAGACACACACACACTAGGGCAGTACAATGAATAAGAATTTTCATCATGATTTGAACAGCTCTATCTGGAAATAATCATTTTGGAGTCATTGGGGTGATGTGTGGAGGAGATAATCTGCAAAGAGAATAAAAATAATTATTAAAGCTGAAAATTGAGTTTTAATTGTAAGACTTCTCTGAGAGGGAGAAGGGGGGATGAGGTAGTTTAATACACTGAGCGATTCATCATGAAACACTTGGGTTCATGTTGTACTCTTCTGTCAATCCTGGCTGAAGTCAGTCATCTATCCTTACTGTTTTTTGGTTTGTGGTTGACTACTAGCGGGGCGTGCTTTGATTGTTTATCAGACAGACTTCTATTGTAATGCCTTTTTTAAACAGACTGCGCCATAGGGCTGCATTGAAGTCCCTTCTTTGTGTCGCCAGACATTTTTACACAGCCGCTGCCATTGTATATTTACACACAGTGGTGGCAGCTGTGTAAAATGTAAAGACGACGTAAAGAAGGGACTTCACTGCAGCCCTATGGCGCATCTCTGTTTAAAAAAGGGCTTACTATAGAAGTTGTGTATTTACACACAACATCATGCCCCTGTGTGTGATTTTTAGACAGCCTGCTGGTATATTCATTCATTCATTTTCCATAACCACTTATCCTGTTATGAGTCGCGGGGGGCTGGAGCCTATCCCAGCTGACACAGGGCAAGAGGCGGCGTACACCCTGGACAGGTCACCAGACTATCACAGAGCTGACACAACAGCGCTTTTTAAACAGGAGTTGTGCAAATTTGCAGGAAAGCCCAATCAGTCTTTTTTCAGCATTGGCAGTATAAAAACAAAATCGGGGAGTGCAGCAAAATGCCGCCTACCTACTTTTGTTTACAGAATGCACCTTTTTCGGGGCAATGGGGGGCGTGAGCAAGTAACAAAACGTGTAGCTCAGCGTGTGACGTCAACAGTGACGTGGGAGGGAAGCCGCGGCTGGTCAGTCCTTCAGCAGTTCTCTCTTAAGTCGGCCCGTTCTTCACCGTCCCCGTCATCTGACGGTTAATGGCCTCTTCGTTTGCGAGGACAAGGAGGGCGCGCAATTCCTTGTCTCCCCAGTTGCTCATCTTTACAGTGTCTGTCAGGTTTGTGTTTCCCTCTTGCTACTAGCTGCTCGCTAATTCCTGCTATCAGCTGTTTCCTGTTTATCCACCGCCAGTGGGTCGCACGTGCGGCGTCATCAACAGCTCCTCCCACAAGTCATCAACAGCCCCTCCCACAAGTCTTCAACAGCCCCTCACGTTGTGGAAGGCCGCCTCGGTCTGTTTTAACCAAAAAGGGTTCCACCAATATGTCTACCCTACGAGGTGGAAAATTGGGCACCTCGGATCAACTCGCCAATCCGGCTCTGTGTGTCTAAACGCTCGCAGCTTGCCGGCAAAACGGCCCAACCAGTGTAAAATCAGTGTAAACAGGGCTTATGATGGGCCAGACTATGTCACATAACCTGTGTTAAAGGGGGAGGCCTGGCTGATAACATTGGTCATGAAAATGAATACTGCAAGTTTTCTTTTTGTGTCAAGCAGCAGAAACGTAGCATGTCGTGTTTGAGTTAATTTCTCTTACTGGACACTGCATGTCCTGCGATGCGACTTATTGCGTACATCAGTTTCAATGCTAAAATCGTGTAGCGTTCACAATCACACGTGCATCTCACATAGGATTATCCCTTGTTTCTAATGCACCACACTGTGGTCCAACCAGATGATGTTTGCATTTAACAGTTCATGGCGGTCACATGTATCTCACCTTGTGTTTATCTTAGCAGAAGGTTTCATCTCCTCTGCATGCAAATGTGCGCGTGTGTGTGTGTACATACTGAATGTATTTGCGCATACTTTGTATGTTTTTGTGTGTGTGTGTGTGTCCTTAGGCAGGCAGGTATGTCTCAGAAAAAGAATTAGAGCTACATCTGTTTGTCTGTTGCGTAAGCCCTGCGTGTGTTAAACAGATTGACTGTTAAATGTCTTTCCAGGTCAAATAAAACCCTGTGACTGACTGATGAAGCCCCCTGTCTCATAAAAACTCTTTTTCCTCCCTCTGCAGGACCCGTACATCTTTGAGCCCAACTGTCAGATGAAGGTGGATGAGTATGGCTTTTTCATCTGCTGGAAGAGTGAGGGAAAGGTAAAACTTCCATCTTTTCATGTTTGTGTATTCTCTCGTCGGTCAGAGTAGCCTGGGAACTGCACATATCTGCAAGCTCATGTTTCATTTGCTCTGGCAGATGCATCCCCCTCCACTTAAAACAGATTACCAGCCAATCACAACTGTTAATCCAATATGAGGCAGGTTTGATAGGATTGGCGGAGCCTTTGCACTTTGCACAAAATACGTGATGATGTCATTTTTGGCTTGCGCACCTTCGCACAGGGGTCACTGCTGGCAGAGGTGTAGTGGTAGTTGAAGCAGTGGGTGTACTACTAGGTAGATGGGTAGGTTACAGAGGAGGAAGTGGGTTTCTCTTCTATATATTCCAGTGGCTTCTTGGCTGATTGGTGGGTATACTGTAAACGGACAAAAAAAGCAGTGGGTATACCCCATAAACCTGTGTATACACCAGTGACTGCAGGTGCTGTTCGTTATGCCTATTTATGCTTCCTTGCGCCATCTATCTTTCCGTGATCTGGAAATAATTCCCCGTCCGCCATCATGTAGGCTCCTCCAATCCGATAAATGCAGCTTGAGGAGAGAGGAGGCTTCTGGAGGAGCTCACACCGAGGAAACACAGGTTTATCCTCAGCTAGAGTCTTTTATCAAGAGCCGTAATGTATTAGTGCTGCACCTTCACATGTGCCACAGTAACTGAAGCTGGTGAAGACAGACACTTTCTCATTTGACAGCTTCAGCTCCTCCATCCTCGCATCATTTCCTCGTATATCTCTCTCAAATTCTCGCTGGGAGGAGCTAAGACGTGAGGAAAAAATGCAAGTGAGGGGAGCAAGGAGACGCATTCGCATGATAAACAGTGTACAGCGAGCAAAAACCTAGCTTATTAAGGGGGGATGGACAGAATATCACAGTTTACTGCACATAATCATAACCTGTGTTTTGGCAAGAATCCCAATACAGGGTTACAGTTCAGTATCTTGGAATTTTCTATATGCAAGGTGATAATATTAGGGTTTTTTTCTCCATCTAATTTTAGGAAAATTGCCGTACACTTGAAGAAATAATTTGGTCTGTTTGGTCAGGTTTATGTATTTAAAGTATATATAAGATTTCCCTCCAATTATGTCAAGTAATTCTAACATAACCCCCAAAAAGTAATTAAATCAATCAACACATATTTGAAATACACGTAATATATTAAAAGTAATTAAATAAACTTTATTTAAAGTCATCACAGTTTTTATTTAATCACATAATTGGTACTTTAAAGTTTATGTTCGAATTGCTTGACTTAATTAGTTGAAATTTTATACGAAATTGAAACTATTAAATAAAATACTTTTGACAATGACTAAAAACTGTATTTGAGTGTAGTATAAAGAACACATGACGATTTGCATAGAAAAAAAGTTTAGTTTTTTTATGCAGTCAAAACATCAGCATTTGTTTTTATCACAATCCCAGTAACATCTTTTTTTCTTTTTTTGTTTCCAATAGATTTTTTTGTTGAGTTTTTAACACTTTAAAAATTCCCAAAATACTGACAACGAACAACGAAAATGAAATGAAATAAATAATAATAAAAATAGTAGTAATAATAATGATGATATAACATCCACCATCTTAGCGCTTCTTTTGTGCAGTTTGAGCAAAATAATTAACCTTTGCTTATGTCAGTAAAAAACAAAACTAAAACTACTTGCAGGATTCTTTAGGTAAATTCATTTTCTTTTTTTAAAAAGTAAATAATTTAAAAACTGTGTTTTTTAAAATCAATACAGTATCACAAAACATAATGTCACGATACTCAAGGGTATCGTTATCCTCCTGCACCCCTCATTGTCAGATGCTGAGAAATTGTGGTTTTTCTGCTACTTATTAAAAAATGATTGCAAACAAACAAAATGCATCATGACCAGTCTGTTTTATTTTCACAGTCTCTACTCCCATACCTCTCTCTGTGTCTCCCTCGTCACCTGCTCTCACATTCTTCCCTCGTCTTATTTCTCTCCATCTTTCTGTGTGTCTCCCGCAGGAGGGCCAGGTTCTCGAGTGTTCCCTCATCAACAGTATTCGTGTCGGTGCTGTCCCAAAGGTGAGACCCCAGAAAAGACAATTTCCTCGCTTCTTGTTTTTACAACATTCACGCTCTCTACCCACTCCACCCAACATCCAGTCTCTTGCTCCCACACTGACACTTCTGTTAAAGTAACTGCCTTGTCAGGCACAATATTCATGCTTTAATTAGCTGAGGTAGCAGCGGAGTAATCTATTGATCGACTGACTGATCTGGGACTCTCAGTTGAGATCGTATTCCTGAGCTCGTCTCTACCAGATTCACCAGGGGCACGAGCTGAACAAAATATGAAATATTTAACTCATCAATATTTATACAACCCAGGCTGGGTTTAGCTGCAGGTTGTATCTAAATCTTTTTTGTGCTTTTGACCCAGAGAAGAATAATGGAAAATTGTGCTTTCGACCCTCCTATGATGAGCTGTCATTGGGTTAAGGAGTTCACACTGTGGGACCAAAACCCCACAGGTATAAGACACTCAGTCTCTGTCAGAATGACTTGTCCTTATCCTGTAATAGGAAACTGGGGCCTCATTACTGAAACTTCCTACTGTAAGTCTGAAATCCTATTTTATCACAGATTAAGGTGACATTTAGGATTTTTAGTATTACAGAAACGTGTTTCCTGACAGCATTTAGGAAAATCTGTCTTAGTGTAGGGATTTAGCTCTTACGGAACCATTCTAACTTGGGGATTTCCCAAGTTAGAAATCCTAAGTTAGGATGGACCCTGTCCTAAATTCAAATTAACTGTGTTGTTAGGTCTGTATGTCAATGACCGTGAAGGGGAACAACATGGACACCAACATATAATGACTGAAGGGCTACTCAAACTGTATGATCCTTTAGATTTTAACAAGTAATTCAAATTAGGGATGTTTGTCTAGTTGAATTTTGTTTGGGATAGCCAGACACCCTGACACTGATAACTAACCAACTGATTTTTAAGAAGCAAAATGACTCAAAGAACAAGAGGCCTTTCCTTTTGTTTGGGTGCACCATTGACTCAGTGAACTTTAGAGCCACATTTCAATATGCTATCCAGTTAGAGGTGTTGACATTTTAATATTTTGCAATATAAACATCTTATCGCTTTTTTTTAGAATTTCTGTTCGCCTTGCTGACAGGCAGCCAAATAGCCGCCTTAACATGTAGTGACAGGACGCCCACTGCCCACCCTCTGGGTTCCACTGGTGAGCTAATGTTAGCCTTGTTCACTCTGCACTGCACACCAGCTGGTTTGAGTAAGCTAGCTAGCAGGGTAGCTAATTCGGGTGTACCGCTGATAACGCTGTCTTGGAAGACATAGCTGCAAAAACGCCACCCTCCAGTCTCCGGAGGTTTCCACAGCAAGACTGTTGGGTTGGGACGGCATTACTCTGGGCCCCCAGAAACTCTGCTCAGCCTTGCAGCAGAGTCCTGCATGGGTCCAGTTTTCAAGATCCGCCCTGCCCCGACCCGGCGACGTACAAACCCGCACCCGAACTGCAAACCCGCGCATCAGGCCAATTAGTACTGCAACCCGGTCCGACCCGTTGAAACACGACCCGCAGCCCGACCCGTAACCCGGATTTAAAGTAATCATTTTGGGTCATATTGGCTGAATATTGAACAGCATATCGCCACAGTTAAGGTGCCAGTGAGTAAACAACGACCTGAATGAAGCAGCTCTCACAATAAAAACCTGACTTCAGCTCCATCATCAACCCTTTGTGTTCTTCTCCCATACGAGTGTAAAAGCACTCGTTTGTTACCTTTTAATGCTTTTAAATTTTTAATTTATGTAAAGGAACTTTACATGTGTAATAATAGACTTACTTTCTGTCCAGAGCGACGTTCAGCAGTTACGAGCCGTCACGTGTTTTTAGAATCCATCGAGGAGAGAAGTACTCCATCAGGGAAACACTTCAGAAACATTACAAAGTGATAGTTGTACGTTTTATCTACTTATTTCTCAAATACCTAAATAATTATTTACTGTTTTGGAAGCGGCGCTTGTTAGACGGTGGCAGCCATGTTGATTCTCTCGTCCAATCACAAATTGTGTTATTAGATGGTGAAACGCGTGTAAACAGCTGAACCAATGACCGTTGCGAAATAGCGGAGGCGATCCTCAGAGAGTAAATAATGACCAAGATAGTTATCTGTAGTTTACTGAACTAATGACTGATGTGTTTATCTAAAACCCGCGATCCGACCCGCATGTTATTTTTTCCACCCAGATCCGAACCCGGGAAAAAATGTTTTTTTTTAAAAACCACCCGCAAATCAGCTGTTTTTGCGGGTTCCCGACCCAGTGCAGGATTCTGCCTCGCAGCCACATTCTCCTAGTGGCCATTTTCGGTACTGCAGCAAAAAAGAAATCCCCTGCAGCCCCAAAAGCATTTTCCACATAGACCACCATTTTAAAAGAAATATCTACTGTCAACAGGACACCCCAAACTGTGACAAGGTCATGAATCTTTCTGTTGTGAAATTTTTATATTTGTAAAACTTTTCTTGAGCTAAGAAAAGAGATTAAAATATCCCTGACATCATCACAAGAAAAGCCTTTTGGCTGAGTGGAAACTTGTGGGTGGGACCAGCGGGAAAAACACTACTGGACATATTTAGTGGGCCGCATACTGCAGAAGTAAATTTAAAACTTTTTAGTGCATGTGCCAGGCGAGCAACAACATTGGAATGAATAGGCACCATTTTACCATGAGTGGCGCCGCTAGCTAGCACCCACCAGACCCGGCTGGTGCGCATTGCGTAGCAGCCAAAGCTGACACTAGCTAACCAGTGGAGATTAGAGGGTGGGCAGTGGGAACTTTGTTAATATGGCTAACCAGCTGTCTGTCTCCCACAGACCTGGTTGGTGCGCAGTGCAGTAAACTGAAGAGTAACAGAATCATCCTACAGACCCAAAATATCCTAAATATTCTCAGCGGTTCACCGATTAATGTTGACATTGTTATTCAAATATATAACAAGGCAAAAGATAATATTAAAAAAGAAGAAAGAAAAGAATGTAAAACTGTTAAGGTATAAGACTAAAAATACGCAATTTGAACAACTTCACAAGTCACATAAATGACATCATAGCCTTCTCTCTGGCTGAAGCTGTGATGCCTGTGTTTCAAACCAGGACGAGTTTTGCTCGTTCTTTTGCTTTGCAGCTGATAAAAAGAGCAGGAGTTGCTGAATGAAACGCTATGTTGGGTAACATTACAACATAATTTGACTCAACTCCAATTTATTTAAAGCACATTTAAAAACAACTCACACTGACCAAAGTGCTGTACGACAGGAATCAGTGGCTACACGAGAGGCAACATAACTGTCAGGTACACCGCTCATACATTCAGAGACACAATACACAGGTACACATCAGGAGGACTCAAACGCTAATGAATAAAAGTAGGTTTTGAGCCTGGACTTAAATGAGTCAATGGAGGGGGCAGATCTTATTAGGAGGGGATGCTGTTCCACAGTTTGGGGGCAGACACAACAAAAGCACAAGCTCAAATGTTTGAGGAGAAAATTTCCAGAAAAGGTGTTGTTTAATGTTCTCCACCGACACGACTGGTTCCCCAGACTCCTCGTAGCCAAAACTGAATGCCTATCTTTTTTTGTCTATGACAGCAAGCTATCCAGTGACAAATGAGCTGTTGATGTTTTGGCTTATCCATCTTGAGTAGTTAAAGTTAAAAGTCAAAGGCAGTCTGAAGTCTGAGATAGGAAGGGACACAGCCAAGATCTTTGAAACTTAAGGTAGGCCAAGCAGTCAGGATATTTTTCTGCAATATGGCCTCTGATCTTGAAATAAACAATACGTACCAACCAGCTGCATTGTTGTGTATTTTCTGGCAGCATTGTTTTTTTATTTAGCTGGTATGGAGCCAGATACACACTCAAAAACCTGCATGCTTTCTCTGTACATTAAATATTGATTCATGCAGTTTAGCCTCGACAGTGACACATTATGTCTTGGTATTCAGCATCTTGCAGACCAGATGAATTATGAAAGCTGTTACGGGAAACCCCATGTGGACGCCGGCCTCTAATTAGGATGCAAACCTGTCAGGCCACTAAAAGTCAAACACCTGACAGGAGACACTGGTGTGTGTACTGTGTGCTTTAGCATTACCAGGTTGTGTGTGTCCTGTTGACAGCAGGAGATGGTCTGTTTGCTCTGTCCTCCGTGTGGACGTGTGTGTATGTACATGCGTAAGGGCACGTATACAGAAACTGCAGCCTGACAGCAGCTCCTCCTGTTTGTTCAGACGCCGCTCTGTAAGTAGCAGACTAAGAACAACAGAGAGCAGGGCTTCTCCTCAGAGGCTAACGTGGTTACACCGAGCCCCCGAGAGCTGTTTCGGATAATCCAATGAGCGAGAAGAGATGAATGGCCTTGGATGATTGCTGGCTGGGGTTTTAAAACGACAGAACCTGTTGCCTGTTGCTGTTAATTCAATCATATAGCAAAAATGCATTACCGTCTTCCATGGTGACGACGATGGCAGACTGAAACCAGGAAAGATGAGGTGGAGGAGTCGGCTGTGTTTTTGATAGAGAAAATTTTCATGGATTTTCTGTTTCACCAATTGAGCAGGAGTTTGTGGTCATGTCAGGCTGAACTGTGCCGAGGACTGTAGACTATTCTGAGGATAATAAGCAGAGTAACTACAGGTCTTTAAATGTCAGACACGTCATGTCTAATGTCTTATAAAATATGGGCAAGTGAAACCAGGGGTATTCCCTTTGTCAGCATTCAGTAAAGATTTTTGTTATTCATTTTGCCTTAAATTTAAAGTCCTTTTAAATTAGCACATTATTTTGGTTTTCTTATTTGTTGTAGTATGAAGTATTTCACTTCACCAATAGATGTAGTTTGGACGAATAATAGGGTCCATTTTAATTTTCTGTGTTGCCTCACATCATTAGCTGGTCACAGTAAGCACATACACATTTATTTTGGATTTCTGATTTTTCTTGCGTTGCTAAATTATTTATAGCTTTCCGACGTTCATTATGTGCCAGTCAGAATCTTAATCAGTTTGGGGCTTTTTTCTTCTTTTTGACTTGCTGTTTTGATTGTTAATTTTGGTCTTATGTAGTTTTGAAAAGAAAAGATCTTGTGAAATGTTAAGATTTGCCCAGGAGACATCATGACAGGAACATACTTTGAACATCATTCAAAGTATTTTCATTCTCAGCAAAAACCCAACATGTCCAGTAAATAGAAATCTACTTTCAGAGGCCTACCTTGCATTTGCCAAAAATTGAATGACATAAAATGAATGAATGAATAAACTTAATTTATTATTATTTCATGCACAGAGTGCAGCTCAAAGGACTTTACAGTTCAGCCGCAGATACAAACAGCAAAGAGCTAATACCAATTATAATCAATTATGCAGCACTCATTTAAGGACAAATTAGAAAATTAATTAATAAAATATTAAAACAGATAATTGCTAGTTATAGTCTATTAAAAAGATATGTTTTGAGTCATCGTTTTAAACTGTCCACAAGACAAAAATCATATTTTTGTCCTCATTGATTGGTTTTTGGCTTTGAATGAACCAAACTACACACGCACATTTACTTAACTCACAGAAATTACCAGTTAACACCTTGTTAGTTTGGCTTGGGTGGTATCAAGGTATTGCAGTATACCTCCTCTTTCTATTAAACTGGTAGAGAAGCTGTATTGAGGCGATGTGTTGTAGTGTATTACAGTTGACACTAGAGGGCAGTCTCTGCTGGTGCAACAGACAGCTGAGCTGAGAACGATGGCTACTACAAGTGGTGGGATAACGTTACAGGACTGAAAACAGTCAGCTAGCAACAGCAGAGAAAAATCAGGGAAAACATAGCATATGTTCATATCTTAACTGGGTGAATTATATTGACAAAACTAGAGTTGGTGATTTTTGGAACAGTGGAAAGACAAACCAAGATGGTTTTGGTGAGTTTTATTTTGTTTGACAAGGTATGTTACACAGTGAATAAACAAGGCAATTAACCCTTTGAAACCTGGACAACCTAATTTTTTCTTGTGCTGTTTTCAGACACCTTTTGCAAATATTTAAAGGATAACTCAGGCATTTTTCAACCTGGATTGTATTTTCCATGTTTTGTGTCTAAGGCTGCCTTTACACTACCATGTCTTGATGCCCAATTCCGATTTGTTGCCTATATCCGATTTTTCCTGACTGCTGTTTACATGTTCTGTTCACCTTATTTTTCACGGAGACACAGAGGCAAAACAGAACGCAGCCAGCTTTCGTTTTTTTTGTGCGACACTTCCGGTCCAGCACTCTTGACCACTGTGTAAATGTCCCACGGTATTTGCTACAGTGACATTACTGCGCGCATGGAAGTGTTTACATTACTGAAAGCAATTTTAAGGACTAACTTTAAATATTTGAAGTTAATCGTTAAAAAATAAATCGCCTGGAAAGCTGACGCTGCTCCACATAATTTAAAAGGTAACTTAGCCTACACAGAGCTGTGGAAATGTCCGTGCAGCTGCATATTTATTTCTCACAGTTGAGCACACGTTTGGCTGGCGTGCAGAAGCACTGTCTGTGTGTCGAGGGTGCGAGCCGCAGCTTCAGCTGCTCAGGTAGAGAGGCTGTGTAGCCCGGTGTGTTTTTTCGCTGATTCAGTTCTGCAGGTTCTCTGCTGGTACACTGGAGACGGGGATCAAGCAGTTTGTCTCACTCAGGATAGATTGTGCTTTATTTGGTTCATGGTTTTTGATTGACGTGTGATTTATTCGGCTTTCCTTCCTTTCCCTCGCTCATGAGCACGTCATCAAAATGCGCTGTCGTCGCATTATTCATGACGTACGACGTGGATTGCCAGGAAATATCCGATCTGTCTGTTTAGATTACAGACTTACTGGCAGATATCTGATTCATATCCGATATATTTCCACATATGAAGGAGGCCTGAATCTGATCTGACAATATCCGATATCATGCGTTTTTTTCCTGTTTACATGTTCATGTTACAGATCCGATCTTGAACCATGTAGTGTAAAGTAGGCTTAAGTGACTAATGTGAACTACAGTTTTTGAAATTGGTCCAGTATTGAGTGAAAGAGCTGCAGTGAGCAGCTGCAAAACAGGCTGCAGTGTAAACACTTGAGACAATAAAGCACCATCAATTCATGTCCACTATAAGTGTTTCTTTTTGCCACTGACAGGCTCCAATTATTCCAAGTGTCTGACATTATTATGGAAGGGATCCCTACAGAGATAGACCTTTTTGTTAAAGACTAAGATCCTTTTTGTTTAACCAGAAACAGCCCAAACTCACCAGACTCAATTTAAAAAATAAAAACAGTGATTTTATAATTTTGAAAAGACACTTCATTTGAAGTCGACAGAAACAAAATAAAACTCATAAATACAGTCTTGGTTTGTCTCTCCACTGTTCCAACAATCACCAACTCTGGTTTAGTTGAAATAAAACCTGAATTCATCTAGTTAGTTGGTTCAACAAAAAGGATCTTACTCTTTAACAAAAAGCTCTATCTCTGTAGGGATCCTTTCCATAATGTTGAACCTGACAATTTCACAAAATGTTTTAAAATACTAAGGTTAATTTTAAGCTAGTCTTACTTCTGTGAAAGACTTGGGATTTCTGGCTGTTGTATTTTGCTAATAACTAATAAAACTAAGAGTGCTTGTAGAAAGTAGTGAACTGGCCTCTCACACAAATACTGTCATATACCGTATCCCTGGTGAAATGTCAGGAGGGTTTGACATCAGAAAAAAAAAAAACAGATACCACCCAAGCCTACTATTAGCTTGTCCTCTTAACATTCCAATTTATGCAAGTTACATAATGTTACTCACCACTTGTCAGAGGTGTCTGTGAACCTTCTCCTACCTACTCCAGTAAAGTGGTGTCTGAAGTGACGCTCTCCAGTACTGTGTGTCCAAATCTGGATTCACTGGAACTTTTTTAACAGCTGAGATTTCTTTGAATGGAGAACTGCAATGAGTTCCTCCACGATGGATGCCCAGTATATTCTTCAGCTGACATGGAGCATAAAGACTCCCATGCATGATACATACAGTATATCATGCTTCTTAACATTGTGGGCTTTTCCACAACACCAGTAAACAGCTGCAGTGTCTCTCTAAGCTTCTTTTGCTTTATATTTTCTTGTCAGTGACTATAGACTGCTACAGCACCAGAAAAGGACAATAAAACTTCCCCTTATATTTCTTCATTGATGATTCATGATTCGACCTGGACAGCCTACACCACTGCCTTACCTCTCATTTGTTTTCTTCTTTCTGAGAATGTTTGTCAGTTTGTTGGTGTCCTTATCTTGTTTGTCTGTCTGGTAATTGTCCACCTGTCTATCTGTCAGTGTCTTACTAAACCGTCTTACTCTTTCTTTCCCCAGGACCCAAAGATCTTGTCGTCGTTCGAGGCCATTGGGAAGACGGAGGCAGACTTGGAGGGCTGCATCATCTGCATCTGCAGCGGCACAGACCTGGTCAACCTCAACTTCATGTTCATGGTGGCGGAGAGCCCAGACATAGCCAGGGTAAATATATGCATTCACCTTATTTTCACTGCTCAGTGTGCTTTCGTACTGTTGAGGGAGTGAAATGTTACAATGAGGCCGATGACGACCAGACCTTGAGAATGTATTTGATGTTTTTTCACAGCTTCAGTCAGTGTAGGACAAATCTAACTTGTATTGTATATCTGTATGTACTGGCGATTATTGTAGCCTGAAGATAATTTTGTGTCCTCAGAGAAAGGTTGTGAAATTACTGAAAGAGACTTCATTTAGCTGGCCTCCCACAGATCTGTGTTATATGGCACTTTTTAAAGCTTTCACCAGCCTAACACCAAATGACCTTTCAAGCAATTTCACCGTAGCAGACGAATTTCTAGTGTCAGAATATCATCATGAGAGATTTACCTGAGTTGTGGTGCACTCCGGTGATCTTGATCGTTTGGGGTAGGGTGGTCTGAACTTTTTCACATCTTGACATTCCAATAAAATCAAACATTGTATTTTCTTAAGTTTTCAGTCTTCGCTCATGCAAATAGTGAAGTTCAGTGACGCCCCAAACACCGTGACAGACCAAGTACATCTCCACCCTTATGGCAGTCGCACTCCCTGAAGACAGTGACCCTCCAACAGGACAGCGCACCATGTAACACTGCAAAAACTTTGTCAGGAATGGCCCCAGAAACGTGACACAGAGCTCAAGGCATTACCTAGCCCTTCAAAATCCCCATATCCCAGTCTAATCAAGCATTCGTGGGAGGTGCTGGTACCCCAGAGATTCTCCTGATCCGCAGTGGGGACTCCTTGGATCGGACTTGGCTCTGACCTGTCAAGGCACCTCTGGGGGTGTCCTGTGGTGTCTGGCACCAGGGAGTTGAATGCAGATTCTCTTTGAATCCTGCGAGTTGTGAGGTGGCGTACCGGCACGTTCCACAGATGCTGATGCACACATGGCACTGTGACGAGATGGTCGATGTTACTCACTCCACCTGCCAGTGGTTTTAATGTTTTGGCTGATCAGTGTAATCTATAAAGATAGACTATATTTGTGTACAAACTTTACATGTTGAATTTTGTTGTCTCAGCTCACTACCAGCCTCTATTGGTTAGCTGTGCAATTTTAGTGGGAGGAGACCTTGGGAATGTGAGGTGAACCGTTTCAATAATTAAGAGTTCTCAGTAAAATAAGTTGAATTTAACACAGACTCTTGTTCGCTCCACAACTCCACCAGTTTCTCCTCCTTTTCTACAGTCCAAGAACTGTGTCTAATTTCCCTTCCCTTAGTCTCTTCCATGTTTACTGTCTATCCTGTTTGCTGCTTCCTGTTTGGTGGCGGAGAGAGCGCAGCTATTGGTGGTTGACGATGTCCACGTTTTAATGTTTTGGCTGAACGGGGTATGTTGATGGTGAATTGACAAGAATACTGTCGACTTATGACGCCTTTTATCTTGTGTTTCAAGAGTACTGTGTTTTGTGGATGCATAAGGAATTGTTAAAGGGAGGTTGGGGTAATATTTTCCCTCAGGAGCAGGATGGGAAATAATCTCAGAAGGAATCTAGTCTTGAAAATAGTGATCCTGCAAGAACCCCAGTCTTTGTAAAATCTTACTGTGTACTAAAACCCACACTGCATGTGTCTAGATTAGTGCTGCACGATTAATCTAATCGCAGTTGTAATCATGTTGTCAGGCTGTGCGATTACATAACCGCATAAAAGGCTGCGATTTAATGTAAATAAATGTTAATGTGTGTGCCTGTGAACGTGACTACCTCTCCTGTAGTGTGTGTGTTACGCCCACAAGCTATCCTTGTGTGTGCAGCACGTATGGTCAGGTGACCACCCGGCGTGCAGCAGTGATCAACACAGTCGCTGAAGAAGAGCATGAGCATGACCAGGAGGCGAAAATATGCAATGTCTAATATATGGCGATACTTTAGATTCAGGTACGGCGACGTTGACCAGAAAGACGTGCTGTGTAAAAGTTAAAGTCGCCACGTCCCGCGGCAACACGACCAATGTATATCAGCACTTGAGACAGCACAGAGAAAAGTAGGAAGGATGCATGCTAGAGAAAGCCGAGCTGAGTAACGTTAAAGACAAAGAGACAACTGAAAGCCACCAGAGCCTCATACAATAACATTCAAGCACAATTACTCAAACATTTGTAAGTGTCACGGGCGCCCGAACGCAACACAGGCTCCGCTCCGCTGTGTGAGCAGCGTGTTTGACTGTGCTCAGTCTGTTGATGGTCATTTACACACTGTCCATAACAATAACTATGTCAGGTCAGGTCAGTGCCCCCCTAATATAATGTAGGGGAAACACTGAATCAAGCAAGAAGATTTTTTTTTATCTTATTGCAATCACAAATCGCAATATTGTCCACTCAAATCGCAATCGCACATTTTTATCAAATCGTGCAGCACTAGTCTAGATGTGAGACGGTGTCACACTTTAGTGGTTTAAGTCTTTTCAAAGTCTACACATGAGTATCACAACCCACGATGCAGGTGAGGCCAACGCTTAGATGTTCACGATGGTCAGAAAACCATATGTGGGCTGGAAACAAAGCAGATGTGAACTCTGCTGAGCACCTGGAGTACACCGTTAATTCATTCAACATCTCCACATCATGTGAAGGCTAAAAGAACCCCGACACAGCAGATATTTATTTCAGAAACAAAGCAAATTGCGAGGTGAATGGTTCATATGCTAACTCCTACACGAGGCCTTGGTTCAGTCTGATAAATAGACACATTTGAAATGAGTCATTTCTCTCTCTCTCACCTCATCTCTGTTTCCCCGTGTCCCTCCTGCACTCAGGCTTTGGCTGTTATTTTCTGATCCTTTTTGTCTCGCTCTTAGTCTGCTCTCTCTCTGTTTTTCATCCCACTCATGTAAGAAAAAGCTCAGTGAGAAGTCTGCCTGCTGTATCGAGTAGAGAAACACCTCTCCGGCCATCACTTTCTCACTCATCAATTCATGTTTGTTTTGGACTCAGGCAGATGACACCTTCTTCTCGGTCTCTCACTTTAATCAGCAGACGTTATTATTGCTGACCCCTGCTGGCAGACCACCAAACATTGTACTCATCCTGTACAGCTCACAATATACAACTGTATCTGCAGATTAAATGTCAGTTTCCTGGAGCTGAATCGATTGGAAGATTAATACTCCTCAGATGAACCAAAAAATTGTGGTGTCAGGTTTGGTGTGATGGAAATGCTTTACACTAAGAATTAAATCCAGTGTTCCTCATGAGAACGTAAGCATCATTCTATATTTTACTTATCATCAACAAATCCTATGAACAGACCAAACCCCGCCTCACCCTGTCTGTGGTACTTGGCTCCAAAAAATAAAATGAATAATTAAAATGAGTCACAAATGTTTAACTTAATTTTTCAAAGTCGAAGTAATTTCCTACAGCAGCTGGGCACTGCAGTTTTTATACAACACTACCCATTTGTTGGGGACTATTTTTAGCCACAGATTAATCCACATTTGGTATGCTAGTAAGTATTTACGGCAGCAGGATGGTGTATGTGGGATTGGCTTAAAATAAACTACAGTGCCCATGTACGTCATCGTAAAAAAAAAAAAAAAAAAAAAATCCATGTCACCCAGGGCAACAGCATGGCTCACTGGAGTGTTTTTAGTTTTTGGACAACAATGTAGGTCTGTGGCAAAGAGGGATAAATGTTATCAGGCTTCAGCTACACAGCTAAAACATCTTAGTCGGATAAATTCATTGGCTTCATTTACCTGCACAAAATATTCCAGTTTTTGCCCTTATCTTGAAAAGGTCAGTGGTCCTACTAAGCTCTTAACACGACTAATGAAAATGAATTTTCCACTAATGATCCTGTTACAGTGCAGCTGTGCATACTTCAGTTAACTTGCCCTAACGTTGTCGAGCACGTCAAAATGCGGGTAAGTGAAACGGCACGGGGCAGTTTGCTTTTTTGCATCGAAATACAAAGTTTCTGACTCAATTGACTGTGTGAATGCAGCCTCCCTCTTTCGCCCTACGCCGTAATCTGACGTGCACCTCCCCAGAAATGTAACTACACGTTGCAGCAACGCAGACCTCCTGTCTGTTTCTGTGAGCTGAAACCATTTCCCTCAGTGGAAACAAAGCTTTTATTTACTTTAATTTCACAGATAAGAAACAATAAATTGTGAAGACAATAAAGCCTCCACTAAAATAGCATTTTAAGTCTTGTGTGTGATTTATCCTGGCTTCATATGAGCAGAGTAACTCCATGGTCATCGCTAGGCTAATTTATACAATGTAAAATGTCATTGGCTTGTGCTAATAACGTTAGCATGTTGTATTTGTCTGTGAATGCTGTGAGTTATAGTGAAGCTGATTTGTGTACTTATGTTTGTCTCTATTAAACCATGTTTAATGTGTGTTTAATGTGTGTTTTGAATCAACTAAACTTCAAAGCACTTCACCGAAATCTAGGTTTAGGAGTAGGCTATGGCTCAGACTCTGTTGCACAAGTATAATCCTGCTTAACAGTATGACGTCATATTTTAACAAGTTGAAATAATATGCAAGTATTACGATACAAATTTTTCAAATCGTATTAGAAATTATACCAGTATTTTCATGAACAAATGATAGGGTGCACCCCTACCGTCAAGATAGAAGATTAAGATTTGTGACCCTACCATCTTAATGTGGCAGCAGAAATCCAGACTCATCAGACCAGGCAACGTTTTTCCAATCTTCTATTGTCCAGTTTTGGTGAATTGTAGCCTCAGTTTCCTGTTGTTAGCTGACAGGAGTGGCACCTGGTGTGGTCTTCTGCTGCTGTAGCCCATCTGCTTCAAGGTTGGACAAGGTGTTGTTGCTTCAGAGATGCTCTTCTGCACACCTTGGTTGGAACCAGTGCTTATTTGACTTCCTGTTGCCTTTCTATCATCTTGAACCAGTCTGGCCATTCTCCTCTGACCTCTGGCATCAACAAGGCATTTTGGCTCACTGGATATTTTCTCTTTTTGGGACCATCCTCTGTAAACCCTAGAGATGGTTGTGCTGAAAATCCCAGTAAATACTCAGACCAGCCCGTCTGGCACCAACAACCATGCCACGTTCAAAGTCACTGAAATCACCTTTCTTCATCATTCTGATGCTCCGTTTGAACTTCAGCAGCTCGTCTTCATCATGTCTACATGACTACATTGAGATGCTGCCACGTGATTGGCTGATTAGCTATTAGAGTTAAGGAGCAGTTGAACAGGTGTACCTAAAAAAGTGACCAGTGAGTGGAATGCTCCTAAATCCCAAACAACACGACATATCCCACATGTCTCAATCAGAAAATGCTTCATTCGGGAAAAGGCCAAATTCAGAATAACCAAACAGAATACACTGTTTACATGACCCATATCAAATTTAATTGGGAAAATGGGAATTGTTGAAAATAAAAGGTACAGGATATTGCCAGCTTTATCCATTAACCAGCAGCTTTAAGACAAAGAAAAGAAAAGAGAAGAAAGAAAACAGTAAAAGTGAGCTATCTTGTATTTAGTGCCAAACCCTGTGTGGCCCAGAGGCTCTGCTGTAATTGAAAGACATGAAGCCAAAGCAAGAAAAAGCACTCTGACAACTTAAAGTGAGCGTAATTCCCCTCAGCCTCGGGGTTGTCAATCCAGAGTAAATAACATACAAGTCGTTTTTTTTATACGACTTTACGTCTGTGTCATCGTCTGTGTCTCCTACTATTGTTTGTCTATGAAGATTGCTGAGGAAAGTAAAAGGAGCCCACTGGCAGCAACACAGCACAACAAGAATGATTAACATAGCTAGCCTTGAGGAAAATATTTTTATGCACTGTATTTAAAGATGTCAGATCCCTCAACAACAAACGCAAATGTCCCCAGAAATAAAAATCACAACCGGTTTCGGACCAAACTGTAAATGCATGTTGTGTGCGCCGGCACAGATCTGTTTATCTGGCACTGCAGCGTTGGTGTTTATGCATCTCTCATGAGAGGCTGTTTTTGTGGTGATGGGTGTTATAAATGATGTTTGCGCTCCAGAGAGCTCACCGCCACGGGGCTGCCAATGATATTCCTGCAGCAGCCTTCAGCAAAGAGCCACACACACATACACACACACACACATACACATAGATCCAGGTACACGTCCTCGTCCCCCACATATTTATTCCTGCCATTCCTGTCCCCCTCCCTCTCTGTCATACACACACAGACAAACACACCATGACACCATCACCACTTCCCAGCATGCAGGTGGCCCTAAGTATCAGACCTTGGGAGGTGACAGAGTTATTTACATCAGCCGACACGCTCACACACACACACACACACACAGCTTCACGGACGCCACATGCCCAAACAGACGACCCCTGCTGCACCCGTTATCTTGTTTAATGTTGTTATAATGATGTCGGTAATAATTTTCTGTGGTAGACGGAGCACAAAGACGGAGAGTTAGAGCCAGAGACATTCTGAGATAGAGATTGTTCAGGTTTTCGTCTTCAGTGACGTGTGTGTCGATGCAGTCAGCAGTGTATTCATGTAAAGTTCCAAGGCCTTCTCTAACTGTTTGTTTACTGTCACTGTCTAGCCTTGTAACAGCCCACTGTGGTTATCACTGTGTGTATATATTGTGTGTGTGTGTTCCTGATAGTCCTGACAAGGAGCTTGCCCGTTTGTGTGTGTGTGTGAATTAAGAGGCAATTGGATTGCTTGTGTTTATTTCCCCAAAGACACTCACTTCTAAACACAATGCACTCTCTCTCTCAGCTGCTGTTTGTGTGGGCTGTGGTTGGTGAGTGTGTTGAGGGTGTGTGTGTGTCCTGAATACTTGCGCTTGTTTGTTTGCAGAAGTGGATCGAGGGTTTGAGGTCAGTGATTCACAACTTTAAGGCCAACAACGTCTGTCCAATGACCTGCCTCAAGAAACAGTGAGTGCATTTTACAGCACACTCACAGCATGTCTTAATGATCTCGTGTTGATCATCTGAAGTTTCAGTTTCAAAGGAATACTTCAGCCCCTGGATGACCGTTTGTGTATCAGTTACTCACCCTGTGTTCTGTTGAATTTGTGATAAAAACTTTGCTTTTCTCTAATGCCTCCAAGGTGAACGAAGAATCAGTTAGTACAGTGGTGCCCAACTAGTCCAGATTTCTGCTTAGTCATTAGTTCAACGTCCACACAGTTTAATACATTCAGCATCATACTTGTGTTTGGCCATGACATCGAGCTAGTTTGCCGTCTCTGTCAAGTAGCTGTCTGTTAGTCACTCAGTCTACAGCAAGAAACAGCACGTCAAAATAAAAGCTCTGTGCCAGAAATTCACTGTACTTCAAAATAAAGCATGTTTTTTACAAACTTGGCACATTCACAAGCCACTTGGGGTCCATCCAGAATGGACCTGTGACCTACTTTTAACACTGAATCATTCAGCCTGTGTAACATTGAATTTGCTATGAAAACTTTGTCTCGCATGTCTCCACAGTGAGCGAAGAATCCAAAAACTGAGATAGTTTACTGATGAATTGAAGTCATAGGAGTCCGCTTAAACTATGTCAAAACATCCATTTACACATTTACACTCACACAGCTCGTGCAGTATAATCCAGGTCTCATTTATCCAGTCGTTCGCAGGTTATCACCCAAACACATGTATTTTTTGCTGAAACCGTTGTATTTTATTAGAGAATCCATTAAGCCAGACTCCATTGACAAAAACAGTAATTTAACCTTGCTGAACACAGGAGTTGCTGGTCTACTGCTGCCTTGGTCAGATAGTTTGTTTGAGTCATTGTGTGTGACAAGTACTATTCAGCGGCTGGGATGAGAATCAGCACCTCCTAGTCTGAGGCCATGGTCCTCAGCCGGAAAAGGGTGGATTGCCCACTCCAGGTCGGTGGGGAGGTCCTGCCTCAGGTGGAGGAGTTTAAGTATCTCGGGGTCTTGTTCACGAGTGAGGGTAGGATGGAGCGGGAGATTGACAGGCGGATTGGAGCGCCGTCAGCAGTGATGCAGGCGCTTAACCGGTTCGTTGTGGTGAAAAGGGAGCTTAGCCAGAAAGCGAAGCTCTCAATTTACCGGTCGATCTACGTCCCAACCCTCACCTATGGTCATGAGCTCTGGGTAGTCACCAAAAGAACGGGATTGCGAGTACAAGCGGCCAAAATGAGTTTCCTCCGCAGGGTGGCTGGGCTCAGCCTTAGAGATAGGGTGAGGAGCTCGGACATCCGGGAGGGACTCGGAGTAGAGCCGCTGCTCCTCCACGTCAAGAGGAGCCAGTTGAGGTGGTTCCGGCATCTGGTAAGGATGCCTCCCGGACGCCTCCCTTGGGAGGTGTTTCGGGCGTATCCAACCGGGAGGAGACCTCGGGGCCGCCCCAGGACACGCTGGAGGGATTACATCGCCCGGCTGGCCTGGGAACGCCTCGGGGTTCCCTCGGAAGAGCTGATGGAAGTGGCTGGGGAGAGGACTGTCTGGGCTTCTTTGCTGAGGCTGCTGCCCCCGCGACCCGGACCCGGATAAACAGAGGACGACGAGTACGAGTACTATTCGGAAGGGATTAGTTTTAGATAGGGATGTGGACTAATGTCAGTTTACCACAGGATGTCTGTAATATAACTGTCCAGTTCGCATGGGACAAGAAATCACCATAATTCTACCAGAGATGGGAGTGATAACTCGGTTTGCGCCCTGGCGTCACCTCCCTGTCAGCATGTGCGTGCTACGTTGCTTCCTGTAAGCATCAGCTGAAGGATAATAATAATTAATGATTAGCACAATATGAAATATTGCCCATGATCAGGATTGTGTGTACACAACGATTAGCAATATAGATTTATATTAGGCCGACCTAACACAACCAGAAGTCTCGTGGCTCTGAAAAGTCCTTTCTGACCTTTTTGATTGGTCTCCTATGTAGGGCTATGCGATCATTAGAAGAATGTCCACTATCACGACTGCCGACAACACTGAATGCTTCTTCAAGTGCCTCCATCGAAAAAACGTGGAAAACTAGTTGTAAACACGGAAAAACGGTTGTAAACAGGACGTGACAAAATATTTACGTTATTTTTCTCCGGGCCGTTTTACAGACGGTAAAAGTCGCCGTAATTATTACTGACCTTATCCGTCATGATCAGATACATGAAGCGTTCGGACGGGACTAAAATCCCTGGTAATAATTACTTTATCCCACGTCTCCACATTAAACTAATCCCATCCGAATAGGGCTTTAGAGCCATTTCTAGCAAGCCCTAGTTTCCTATTATTTTTTGAGTCACTTAAATGCACCAGCTGACCTGGCATCTTGGGAACCTTTAATTAAAGGCAGGTGTGTTGAAGTGCACGTGGAGCATGGAAGACGCCACAGGGTTACAGTCTTTAACCGCTTCCTGTTTGGTTAATCTTAGTTTTTATTGTTTGATGAAGTCGTTAAATACCCCGTTGGTTTGAACTTTGTTTTTGTAAAGGCCTGTTTTTTAGGGGAATGTTTGGGGATTTTTGTTTTCATTTTTTAAACGCGACAGTCAAGACCATAGTGTCATCCTGCAAATCAATCAGCTCTTAAACCAACCGACGCACCTGGATCATCAAACAGTGAGTAAAACTTAACCAGACGGTGAGTTTAACATATCTCCCGTTATAGCGTCTGTGTGTGGCTTTTTTCAACCTGTGTAGAAGCCGCAATAGTGTCTTTGGTGTTTGAAAGTGTTAAGATTCACCAAAGCCACACAATAACACAAACTACCGTAAAACTCGGAATATAAGTCGCACTGGCATATAAATCGCAGTCTATTTTTTCAGGTCTCAAACAGGAAAACAAGGTTTTATATTACTATTTGTTAATAAAAACGTTATACAAGTTATTCCTACACTGTTTGCCTTTATTTTTTATTTGAAACACATTCAAAACACAATAACCTCTTAAGCAGCTTTGGTTACTTTTCAGATTGCAATTTTCCAAACAACCTCTTCCGGAAATAAAATTACGGTATAACAACATCGGTCAGCTTTCAGTGAAAATGTAGTGTAAAAATAAATAAAATCCTATTGTCTGTCCTGTTTATTGCTTGGGCACTGTTATTTACGTGACAACACCTGAACATAACACGCACAGACACACATTGGCTGTTTGTTTCTACCTCTCCCCTCGCTGGAAGTCTCGGACCTCCAGCCGCCCGCCTCCGCCTTGATTAAACGCTGAAAATAAAATAAAAGAGGGAGACAGGTTTTTCCTATTTTATCTTATTTTGTTATATTTCTCCCTCTCCTCTCGCTAGAAGCGTCGGACCTCCCGCCTCCCGCTCCTGTCTCAAACACGGAGGTCTCCCTCTCCGCAGCTGAGCACCCACGGCGCACGCCCGGCCTGTTAAATAGCCTGTAACCACTGTGTGACACAAACTCAGTGCTTTGGTCATTAAATAATGGGTTTGGTTTCGGACAGAAATACGCTGCCCGTGCTGCACTCTAACGCACACACACACAAACACACGGAAAACCGGACATTATCATCAGTTTATAAAAGACCCCTGGACGCCCCAGACGGGACGTGAAAGGTGGACATGTCCGGGCAAAAGAGGACGTTTGGTCAGCCTAACGTAGCGCCATCTTGTGGGTCAAATTACCTATGTCAGCATTTACCTTGGTCTATAGGTCGCACCGGTCTATAACCCGCACCCAACTTTTTAGATGAAAAAAAAAGGGGGAAAAAAGTGCGACTTACACACCAAGTTTTATGGTAACTGATTGAGGCCGTGGTAGACCAGCAGCTCCTGTGCTCAGCAAGGTAAAATTACTGTTTTTGTCAATGAAGTCTGGCTTTGAAGAGAGGATAGATAAGTTTTACTTTGTTTAGCTTTAAATACGAAAGTTGAGAGTTTGTAGACGGATGTTTTTATATAGTTTTGGTGTAAACACGAACCCATATGACTTTCATCAAGAATTTTCTCTGTTTTTGGATTCTTCGTTCACCTTGGAGGCATTAGAGAAAAGTTTTAATCACAAATTCAACAGAACACAGGGTGAGTAACTGATACACAAACGATCATTTAGGGAGTGAGGTATCCTTTCAGTTTAGTTTGTTTTTCTCAAGTGCATATGTGATAAAATGCTGGTAAGAAATCTGCCTTTTCTCTGATCTGTGCTCATCTGTGTGTTTTTATTTCTTCCTCTTATTTAGTTGGATGAGAATGTGCTTCCTGACCAATGTGAATGGGAAGATTCCTGTGAGAGGGTAAGAGTTAATTAATGGGCTTTGTGGTCAACCACTGGGTCGTCCCATTTCACTCTGGTTCATCTAAACTATTCCAACTGTCTCTCTCCCCTCTCACAGCATTACTCGAACATTCGCGTCAGGAAAGACAGAGAAGGGGATCTTTCAGGCTCTAAAGGATCTTGGCCTTCCCAGTGGAAAGGTCAGACAGCACTGACTGTAGCGGTCAGATGGAGCATATGTGGCACTTTAAAGGGACAGTTCACCCCAAAATCAAAAGATACATATTTTCCCTCTTAGCTGTAGTGCTGTTTATCAGTCTAGATTGTTTTGGTGTGAGTTGCCACATGTTATCGGCCGTGGAGATTTCTGCCTTGTCTTCAATATAATGGAACTAGATGGTACTCTGCGCCAAAAAAAACATTTCAGCAGCAATGTTTCTTTTTAGAAATCATGACCCAGTTACTCAAGATAATCCACAGACCTTGTTGTGAGCAGTTTCATGTAGGAACTGTTTTCTTTTTACTAACTACGGCTGATATTTTCAGCTTGGCATGTGACGATACCAGAAATTTAATAGTTGATGCCAGTACTCGTCAAATTTAAGGATTTTCAATACCCAGTTCGATACAGCAGCAAAAACAAACAAACAAAAAGTTACGTAATCCCATGTATATAAATATACACTCCTATATTGAAAGTATTTCAATTAACTTTAATGTAAATTTTGATGATCACTCTTGAAAGCAAACATTTAGTTTTTGTAAAGAGATTTTATAGGTGAGGAAATCGTATATTAATACATAGCCTACAGTATATTAACATATTTCTCCTCCATTTCAGTTGTCATTCTTGTTCACGTAAAATGTGACTGCTGGTCTTTGTGGGACGCTGTTTGTCCCGCCTCTTCTCCACCGTGACTGGATGGCTGTGTAAAAAGTGACATCAACTATCACAGCCTTTTACCCAAAGCTTTTCAGCCCTCAGCAACCACAAAAAACACAAAGCGCTCAGCGGTCCGTGCCGCTGGCATTTGTAGCATGGTGTACAGTGTGTTCCACAGTGCGGCGGTCATGAGTGATCAGTTGATTGCATTACAGCTGATAAGATCAGATGGATGGATAAGAGGAGGAGCTGCTGCGGAGGCCAGTGAAAGCAAATGTTAAGACCCAGAGCAGTGAGCAGCTGCGTTTCACTTTCACTGCACCTGGTGTTCTGCTGCTCCGCCTGTGCACAGAGTACGCTCTGTGCTCGGAGAGTGTGGTAATGAATAACTGACTGTACATATATATATATATATATATATATATATATAAATTCAAACAGCACTCCTAATGAACAGTCCATCTCCAAATATACAAAATCAGGGCTGTCACAAATAAATGAATGTGTGGGAAACCCTGGTGTAAACACAACACGCAGTGCTCCAGTTGCAAAGATTTAACCTCAGAAAAACACACTTCACAAACGATAGATGAGTTGAGGAGCATCTGCCTTCCACGTGTTGTTCTCCCGTGCTGGTAGACGTTCTTCTTCCTTTGGCATTTAATGGCAGACTAGAACACTTGCAGGCGTATCTGCTTCCCTGTCAGGTCCGACAGAATTGCCTCCCTGGTACTTACGGTACTAAAGAAAAACTAGGACCGTTATGTTTTCAGAATCATGCATCAACTTGGTGCCAAAGTAACGGCTCTTGTGACAGCACCGTCTCCAGCATTCAGCAACTCAAAAGTATCTAGATGGATAAATATTACCACAGGTAAGAGGAAATGCATGTACTTTAGATTTTGGGGTGAACTGTCCCTTTTAAACAGTAGGTTTAAAGCTCTCATGCTAACGAACAGCGGGCTTGTTTACCCTCCACAGAACGATGAGATTGAACATGCAGATTTCACCTTTGACATTTTCTACGCTCTCACACAGAAGATCTGCCCTCGCACAGACATCGAGGAACTCTTCAAGAAGATGTGAGTCTCCTTTACTTTCAACCTGCCTGCTGTTTTAATACCTCCAAATCTATACTAGAACATGATCAATCCTCCAAATAACTTACCAGTAGCACCCTTTTATTGTTTACATGTGCCTGAACAGAACACTGATACATCCTCTGTTAAATATTCCCTGAGTGTGAGCTACTGCACCTGGTTGGAAATAATCAGGACAGTGTTTCTGCGCCTGCTGCACTAACTACGTCTGGACAGCCTAACCTGCTTCCACAGTTCAACATTAATTATGAGTGACAATTAACATGTTAATACTAAACATGTAACATTTAAGTTTGATCCCGTTTTATAAAGATTGCTTTCTAATTTTAATTGACTGACTGACAGTGTGGATGACTGTGAGAGTGTCTCTCTCTCTTTAAGAAGCGTAACATTTTGTTTTTGTTTTTCTAATTAATTCCTTTGCAGCAATGGGAACAAAAGTGATTATTTAACTGTAGACCAGTTAGTCAGCTTTCTGAATGAAGTAAGCTCTTTATCATTCATTAACTTCTCTGTGTTTTGCTTGCCGTCTCTGCAACCCCCCCCCCCCGACCCTGCCTCTGGGTAGAAGTTGCCCTCCAGTCTGGACTGCACATCAGCCGACGCTCTTTAAAACTCCATTAACGACAACAACAAAGACAAACTATTTAACCTCCAGTCAACCTGCAAGGGCAACTTCCAACCAGCTTCCCCTGTTCTGCATTCCCGCCCTCATCCTGTTCCCCGTGTTCTCCCTACCGCGGCTTGCCTCCTCGTGTCTGATTGGTGTTGCCATGGCAACGGGAGGGTAGAGGTTTCCGTCCTGTTGCTTCCTGCTCGGCTCATCTCGTTTCCTGCTGTCTGTGTTTGCTCCTCTGTGGCCGTGCTCTTCTGTTTGGATGAATACCTGCTTAGTTCCCGCCGCTGTGAAGTCGCCGTGTGTGTGTGCGTGTGTGTTTGTGTGTGTCGCTGCTTCATGCCCAGTCCCTGTGCATCACGCCAAACGAGCCAAAGCTTTGGTTAGATTAATTCCCACCTGGCTTTGTGAGTGGGCACTGGCATTATAAGGATGTTTTGATTCTGTTTGTGTTGTTGAAGTAGAGCTGTCTTGAACCTCTCCAACACGTACCACTTCCTGCTTTTAAGCAAACACTTGATCACTGCACCTGTTTGTGTGGCGCACAGTTTACTTTGAACATTTTAGAATAAATAAATTCTGCTTAGATCCTTTTTATACCTGAGTGCTCTCCATTTAAAGCCACATAATTATTAAAAGCAGTGTTGATTAACTTGATATGAATCAAAGTACCTTTTCCCATGATGCATTGAGTCGGCCCGTGTCCTGTGTGTCAGTGAAAGGTGTTTTTGTAGTAGATCCAGTTTGTTTGGAACAAGCAGACCGTATGTTTGTGGGTTAATCTGTGTGTACCTGTTGCCCTTTAGAACCAGCGTGACCCTCGGTTAAACGAGATCCTGTTCCCGTTCTACGACCCCAAGAGAGCCATGCAGATCATCGAGAAGTACGAGAGAGACGACGAGCTGAAGAAAAAAGGTAGAGGAGAGGCGTAGTGGGCGACAGGAGGCAGAGAGATATTTTAGGCTGTGCTGCCATCTGCCTGTGTACTTCTGAGACTACTGTATGTTACATCAGGTTATTAGCAAAGTGTCAGCCTCTTCCCCTGTTCAGTAACATTTTATATTAAGGTACACATATTCACCCATTAACTAGTTTCTTATTTTATGCATGTTAGTATGATATTCGCTCTTTAGTAGTCATTACAAAGAACTAATTAATGCCTTATGCTGCATGGCTATATTCTACAGCTACGAGGCCATTAAGAGTTTTCCCTCAATAAAATCCTAATTACAGCTTATTGATAGGAAGTAAGCCTCAAGCGAGGGAGTTCAAGTATCTCTGGGCTTTCTTCACGAGTGAGGGTAGAATGGAGCGTGAGATTGATCAGTGGTTTGGTGCGGCGTCTGCAGTGATGTGGGCGCTGTGCTGGACTGTCGTGGTGAAGAGGCAGCTGAGCAGAAGGCAAAGGTTTCGTTTTACTGCTCCATCTACGCCCCAACCCTCCCCTATGGTCATGAGCTCTGGGTAGTGATAGAAAGAATGTGATCGTGGATACAAGCAGCTGAAATGAGTTTCCTCTGTGGGGTGTCTGGGCTAAGGAGGGGTAAGGAGGGTAGGGAGCTTGGAGTAGAGCCGCTGCTCCTTCACGTCGAAAGGGCTCAGTTGAGGTGGTTCGGACATCTGATCAGGATCCTCCTGGGCGCCTCCCGTTAGAGGTGTTCTGGGCATGTCCCACTGGTAGGAGGCCCCGGGGCAGATCCAGAACACGCTGGAGGGATTAAATATCTCATCTGGTCTGGGAACACTTCAGGGTCCCCCAGGAGGAGCTGGAAAGTGCTGCTAGGGAGAGGGATGTCTTGGGTACCTTACTTAGCCTGCTGCCCCCGCGACTTGGCCCTGGATAAGCAGATGAAAATGGATGGATTGATGGGAAGTAAGGAAGTTGTTGTTCATGAATTGTAGTCTTAATATAATTCTCCCAGTGTGAGCCTCATTACGTGTTAGTGCAACAAACACAGTCATTCTCCCTTAATAACACTTAAGAAATATGGTCTTTTCTTATGTAATAAGATGTAAAACTACAAGCGCATTAATAATAATGCATTTTATTTATAGAGCGCTTCTCATGGTACTCAAAGACACTTTACACTAGTTAAAGAATACAGTAAAATACACATGACATCATTCACACATTAAAAGCCGTTTTGAAAAGATGAGTTCTGATGAGAGATTTGAATAGTGTGAGGTTGGTGCAGACTTGAATGTGTCTGGGGAGCGTTCCAGAGGGAGGGGGTGAGTTGTTTGCATCGGTTGTTTGCTGTAATGAATAAGAAATGTGTTTGGGTTAAGAGGTACCAAACGACTTGTGAATTAGTTACGAGCGAGACTTCATTTTAGAGTGGGGACATTCTCTGAATTCAACTTCGTTTAGTGTTGTTTGGGCACTGTAGCTTTTGTAGTTTGTTACACACTGAGCAGATTATGTTTACATTCCAATGTATGTACAACAACTTTCTTACTGTCAGCAAGCAGTATTTAGGAGGTTATTGAGGAAAAATTCTAAGTTAATGGCTGAGTAGTTGTAGAATATGGTCACTTAGGATGATGCACAGGCCACGCTGCCCGCATGAGCAGTGCTGCTCCTCAGGCTGCAGAACATCTAGAGATTTAGAGTCTCGCCTATTTTTTTTTTTCCTCCAGGTGACACACAAAGTTTTCAGCAAATATAAACACTGAAAACACCACCTTCCACTATGGTTTTAATGTCTACATGTTTACCTTAACACTTCCTGTTTCAAAATAAAAGCCCTCTGATAATGTTTTTGAGGACAGGAATACAGTAGTCAAATCAGGCAGCTCTGCAGCAGCAACGCTATCTGTGTGAACACCGCACACATGCAACCCACAGTAGTTCAGTGAGGTAAAGCCCTAATAAGTGCTTTATAATGACTAATAAAGAGCCAATATGCCGCTTACGTGGATGCTAAGCAGCTAGTTACTGGTGAATATGTGTACCTCAGTATAAAGTGTTACCCCTGTTCTTATCAAATAGATAACTGGTGTTGCTCACAGAGACAGCGCATCATCAAACAGTTCAACCTCTAAAAGCTATCAGACATCATTTTGACACAGAAGCATCCTTATGACAACAGAATCTGCCAACATCTCATTTTCAATCACCTGGAGCCTGCACATGTCGCAATTTGAGATGAATAAGATCATATTACTAATTAAATAGTTATTTTAATTATCATGAAAGGCTTCGCAACAAGACTGTTTGCTGTACTCAAAATGTTACTACTTATAAGAAAAATTGATAAATATCCACAATGATTTATTTAACTAAGGACTCCAAATGATTTTTATCTGGTTCTCATATTTCAGTCTGAAGCAATAAATGTCTTTTTTAAGAAGTTAATTTTATCAACTTCCACCCACAGGTTTAATGTCCAGTGACGGTTTCTGCCGGTACCTGATGTCAGATGAAAATGCTCCAGTTTTCTTGGACCGGCTGGAGCTGTACCAGGAAATGGACCAGCCGCTGGCCCACTACTTCATCAGCTCCTCCCACAACACGTACCTGACAGGGCGACAGTTCGGAGGGAAGTCTTCTGTAGAGATGTACCGCCAGGTCCTGCTGTCTGGATGCAGGTATGTTAGTGTGTCATGGTCCGTCAAGATGTGATGGTGTGGAAACACATGCATCCCACTGTCTTTATGCAGACACACCCAGTACAAACAGGAAACAGTGAAGCTAAAACTTCTCAAGCTGCAAGGATGATGATTTTTTTAAACCCATTGGACCCATTTTTCCATTGGATTTTAAAGTATTGAAGAAAAGAAGCTCTGTGGGAAACAAGAGTTTATAGTACTTTTTATTCAGCAAGAGAATTTTTTACAACCACTAAATTTGAACTTGGATGACCATGACCTGATCCAGCCAGTGTCCCTGGCTTTGTCATTTGCCACTCACATCCTTTTTCAAAGAAATATAAGTGCAGCGGGAGAATAAACACAATGAGGCTGTAAAGATGACTAGTGAGTAGATGAGTTTCTGTGTTCAGCATGATGACATTTATTGTATCGAATAATCTCTGAGTCTCATTTAGCCACTTGTTCAGACGCTTAAAGGGGAACTAATGTTTTTTTCAACCTGGGCCCTATTTTTCGATCTACTTTTGTCTCAGTGAGTGATAGGATGTTCAATATGTGACATTTCTCCAGTACGAAGCTAGGGCTGACCTGCCTGCAGCCCGTGTGCTTTCGCTATTTTAAATAATTGGGCACTCAGTCAGCTTCAAACAACGTCAAAATACGTCCACTAAAAGTGCATTTTTTTCACACAGATAGGCTCGGATTGTTAGTATAATTATCTGACAACATAACGGAAAGGAGAAATGAACGTCTGTGTTTACCTTTAGCTGGATTTGGACATGTTCCTCTGCCTGTTGCTGCTCCCTCTCTCTCCTCGTCCGCTCTTCAGTTTCAATGAGCTCTGCGTCCGTGTACGTCTGTGTACTCCGTGTTCAAATAAATTCAGACATGTTTGTTGTGGCAAGTCAAAACACTCACTCAGAGAGTGAAAGTCTGGCTCTGAAATCTCACCTCTTGCGAGATTCTTCTTCTTCTTCGGTGTTTTACTATGCAGTCTATGGTGTTTTACAGCAGTTGGTCTCGCAGGACTTGAGTTGTTGCAGGAAGTTACCGCTGGAGCGAGTTTACAAATGCAACTGTTTGGAGTAGTCATGGCTGAATTTTTACCCGATTTTGACCAGCTGGATCTGGATGAGCCATTTGAATTTGATGAGCGCCCGTATTTATTTGAACAAGGAGTACACGGACGTACACGGACGCAGAGCTCATTGAAGAGGGACGAGGAGAGAGAGTGAGAGCAGGCGGAGAAGTGTTTTGACTTGCCACAACAAATATGTCCGATTCCAGCTAAAGGTAAAGACAGATGTTCATTTCTCCTTTCTGTTATGTTGTCGGATAATTATACTAACAATCCGAGCCTATCTGTATGAAAAAAATGCACTTTTAGTGGACGTATTTTGACGTTGTTTGACGCTGTCTGAGTGCCCTATTACTTAATATAGCGTGCGCTCACGGGCTGCAGGCAGGTCAGCCCTAGCTTCATACTGGAGAAATGTCACATATTGAACATCCTATCACTCATTTAGACAAACGTAGATCAGAAAACAGGGCCCAGGTTGAAAAAATCATTAGTTCCCCTTTAAGGCTTAAGGCAAATTTACTGACATATATTTTGCTGTAGAACAAAACATGTAAATACCTTAAGCTTTACCACAGCCCTTATTTCAGGCCTCTTAACCAAAAACCCACTTGCGGTCATTGTGACTTGACCAGTGGACTTCATTACGAGCCAATTAGCTGTTGTAACAGGTGATGTACTCTACGTTCTAAAACCAGCCGCTGGCAATTTGACCACCTGAGTTGCAGGTGACATCATCAGCTGGCTTAAGTCGAGCTCAGACCGGCCAGTTCACACCGCTGCAACTTTTAAAATGGTTTTGTCTTGTCACGAATCTTTGGTCTGAACTGGGCTCATTCCTGCAGCACTCTATCATACAATTACATGAACATTATCGGTGGATCCAGTTATGTACAGTGAGTGTGTTTTCCATCCTGTCAGATGTGTGGAGCTGGACTGCTGGGATGGAAAAGGAGAGGACCAGGAGCCCATTATCACTCATGGCAAGGCCATGTGCACAGACATCCTGTTCAAGGTGAACGCGCACACACACAGCACACACACAGCACACACAAACAGCAACACAGTATCACTGTTAACTACAACAGTTGATTCGTTTCCGGGCTGCTTCAATATTGTTGCGTTAGGTTTGGCTGCCCCCCTGTGTTCAGAATATGGTATTGCATATGTCACAGCCTCATCCTCTTCCTCCTCTCATCCACTCTTCTTTGTCTTCTTCTTCCTCTCCCAACAGGATGTTGTCCAAGCCATCAAGGAGACAGCATTTGTGACCTCAGAGTACCCTGTTATTTTGTCCTTTGAAAACCATTGCAGGTGTGTGTGCATCATGATTCTGCTACTGTTAAGAGCTTCTTACAAATACAGTCCATGGACACAATGCATTCACCTTCAATTAAATTGTGTAAAAAACATTAAATTCAATTGCTTGATATTTGTAGACACCCTGATTTTTTTTATTTTATGTGTTTGTCACCAGTAAACCGCAGCAGTACAAGATGGCCAAGTATTGTGAGGAGATCTTTGGTGACTTCCTCCTCAAACAGCCTCTGGAAAACTTCCCTGTAAGTGCTCTCTGTGAGTCACACAGTCTCTCAGAGTTGATTGCATGACGATAATGACTTCTCAGTGTTTAAATGTGTGATTATTTTCTGTGTGGCAGATTGAATCTGCGCGCCCGTTACCCTCTCCAAATGACCTCAAACGCAAAATCCTCATCAAAAACAAACGCTTGAAACCTGAAGTTGAACAGAGTACGTACATGACTCAGCCTGTTGACTCGTTAAATATCTGTTCATTATGTGGTTTATTGGTTTAACGTGTGTGTGTGTGTGTGTGTGTTCTACAGAACAGCTAGAGGCTTTTAAGAAACACATGGAGGCAGGAGAGACCAACACCCCCGCCATCATCATGGGAGAAGAGAATGAAGAGGACGCAGAGAACGGTCAGACACACAACAGTCTGTGTAAAGGAGGAAGAGTTTTTTTGCTGACATGTACACAACACACCTTATCAAAGATCTCTTAAAACACATTTTAATGGCTTTTAATTTGATTTTATAAAGATCACAAAGTTTAAAGAACAAACAAGAAATCCTCAAAAAGCTGCACACAGTGACGTAAGACTGCTCAACAGCTCGCTCATATAAAGACTGGATGCTTTTAGTCACCCAAAAATATTAATGTTTGGTGAAAATCTGTGCTGCAAATTAAATGTCTTTTTGTGTGTGTGTGTGTGTGTGTGTGTGTGTGTGTGTGCAGGAGAAAAGGATGGTGAGGATAAGGATTTGAATTCAGAAACACCCAGCAGTCTGTCAGAGTCGACCACTGAGAAAGAGCCCAACAGTGTGTCCCAGAATAACACTGTCAGCTCGACGAAGGAGGAGGAACGCAGCAACAGTATCAAGAAGGTGAGTTGTGAAGACAGTTGGGCTCCTGAAGTGCTGAAATAAACCAGTCATGCCTCAGGGTTCCAGTAGATCTCACTGGGCAGACTGGGAGATTTAGAAATGGCCTCAGAGCTGTAAAGGGTTGCTTCCTTTTGTTACCTTACCTAAATATAGAACAGAGAAGTCCCGCAGTGGAAACGTCAATTGACCTATGGCTAAGCCCCGCCCTCAAATGCGATGAGCCAATCACAGTGCGTATAGCCATTCCCATTCACTTGGACATTCTTTGTCTGGATGTTCATTGAAATGCATTACAGAAAGTCAGTTTTGTTCGGTTTTATGAGTTTTTTCGGAGATTTGAAGTTTAAAAATGGTCAAACGGTGTGCATGGGGTACATGCAACTCTGACACAAGGTATCCTGAGAGGCTGGGCGACCAGGTGTATTTTTACACTTTAAACCACATCTCAACCGAGAAAAGTGTCTCCTTTGGATAAAGTTGTGTATAACGTTAGACCACAACATCAACTCAACGTGAATAAGATTAACAATGATGTCTACATCTGTTCTAAGGTAAGTCAACATTGTGTTTGAGGCAACATATTGTCACTTTGCTGGAAAGAAATATAAAGTTATCTTTAACATCTCTAGCTAACGCTAGCTAAAGTTAGCCTAACGTTAGCTCCTAGCTGCGTTGTTCATCATGTCACCTTGTTTGCTGGGAGTTAATTAGCCTATTTTGTTCTAGTTTTGTACTTTGGTGATCGTACATCATTGTTAGCTGTTGTCCAAAGGGCTCTAGTTAAGCTAACGTTAACTTCTGGAGCTTAGCTTCATTAACTTATCTGTAATGGCAGAGATAACAAAGGTTGGCAAACGTTATGCTGAATGATTCAGTGTAAATACTGTAGCACCAAACTAACGGAGAGACACTCTTGGTAAAGATGGTAAAAAGGCCGTTATCCTTTTCTCATATTCTGAGCCAAAAACTTTAACTTCAGTGGCACTTTAACTTGTTGTCTTTGATGGTGACGGCAACCAGATGCGGTTCACAAGCGTACACTGTGACCTGTAAATTTTGGCTTGTAATTTAAGCTTTTCATCGACCTTCTCAACAATAAAATGATGAATATATCCCTCCAATGCGTAGTTTAGGCCCTTTTGGTTACTTCTTCATGACATCTGATCGTTATGTCCCCAAAAATCATCAATTGCCTCCTGTGAAATGCCGTGTACTGTGACACCTGCCATAGCGCCGCTCACTGAATGTTGATAGTTTGTCCGAGTGATTGGAGGGGGCGTGGCTTAGCCATAGGTCAATTCCGCCTGTAATAACTGCCTTAAAGGCACGCTAAGCACCGTTGGGCGTCACTTCTGTTTACGTTCAACAATGTTATCAATGTTATCATGCCCCCCCAGATTCAAACGTCCAAAAACACATAATTGAAACCACAATTGACCACAATGACATGTAGCCAGTGGATCGTGAGGATATGTTTGCTGTATGTGACAAAAACTTTCCAAGTTTAGGAAGACTTAGAGAGCCTTTAAATTAAGGATATTTTAAAGGGACAGTTCACCCCACAATCAAATATACACATTTTTCCTCTCACCTGTAGTGCTGCTTATAGAAAAAGAGGTAAGAGAGGCAGCTGGTCACATGGTATATTTGCAGATGTGGTTTAACACCCTGCGTTGCACGTCAAATATCCCAGTTTTTTAAAAATCAAATGTGGCAATCCTAATTGGAAAGAAGACAGACATCTCTATGGCCAATATCTCTAACACTCTGAGTTTGAGGTGAGCTGCCCCTTTAAAGCCAAATCCTGTACATTTAAAGAAATCCAAAATGTATACAAAGGTTTGTATCCATAGAAGAGTAAGAACCAACTTTTATTGCTCCAACAACTCCAGAGATAAAGTGAAATTATGTACAAAGGATGCACAATGTTTTGTTTTTTTTTTTGCAGACATCTGATATGCAACAACTTATATGATCAATAACCAATATCAATATAATGACTATATGTAATATTCATTCATTGTACAAAATAAGAAAAAGTATGTTGGTCGATTCTGAGAGTTCATTATAAAGCCAAAATCAGCTGATACAGATGACATGCTGATATTATCGTGCGTCCCTAGTGCATACTGTATATGCCTTTAGAACAATAGATGGCAGTGTTGAGGTCAGAGTAGAAGAAGAGCATTATATCTTTACCTATGTGGTCAAAAGCCAGTGAAGTGCCGACTGAAACAAAAGTAGGAGTCTGGATTTTTTTCTCCTTAAATTATTCATTTTTAGGGTGCCTACGTCCGTCATTTAAGACCGTACCGAACGTACTGACATGGATGTTGAGAGGGAACATTTAATGCAGCGCTTTGTCTTGTCTGTGTTTCCAGGTGCCTGACGATGAAGCGACAGAGATATCTGAAGCCACAGAAGCAACAGACGCCACAGACATCTCAGAGGCCTCTGACCAAGACAATAACAAGAAGGCAAGCACAAGACGGCCACTGCACTTATCATACACACATTTTTAGTCACCTTGTAGTAAAAACCAAACTAACATCTGTTTCAATTCAAAAGTGTGTGAAACATGTTTGTACCTGTCCTGTGCAGGGTGGAGAAGAGGCGGAGGACTCTGAAGAGGCTCTGATAGCTCAGTACACCTACGTAGGAGCCACCACGAACATCCACCCATATCTGTCAGCCATGGTCAACTACGCACAGCCCGTCAAGTTCCAGAGTTTTGAAGTGGCAGAGGGTGAGCTCTGACGTCCTCCTGATGTGTTTCTGCTGTGATCTGATTCTTGTAAGTGTTGCTCTAGGTGAAGGCAAAATGCAACACTGTTCATTTCCTTTTCTCTGTCTTGCAGAGAGAAACATCCACCATAACATGTCATCTTTTAACGAGTCTGTCGGTCTGGGCTATCTGAAGACCAACGCCATTGAGTTTGTCAAGTATCCTTTGAGCTTCAAATCATAGCTGTGCTGCATTTATCTGAACAGGGAGGAATACATCACCCACAAAATGATCATTTGTACATCGAGTACCCGCCTCGTCTTACGTTGAATTTGTAAGGAAAACATTGTTTCACACAGGTCATCACAGTGAACGAGGAATCCAAAAACAGAGAAAGTTCTTGATGAAGTAAAGTCTTGGTGGCCATGTTTAATACAGCACAACTATATCACAACTCAAACTGTCACACAACTCATGCAGTATAATCCAAGTCTCATTTATCCACTTGTTTGCTCTGTACTTCCCAAACACGTGCATTTAACACACTTGCATACGAGTAGCAAGGTTCCACATGAGCTCCGTCCTGCCCAGGCATACTACACATCTGTACTCAAGACTGTTTAGGCAGATGTGTTTTAAGTAGTAAGGTTTGTAAGTAAGGTTGCATGTGTTTGTGAAGTACAGAGCCTACAACTGGTTAAATGAGACTTGGATTATACTGCAGGAGTTTCTGAGAGTTTGTGAACAAATGTTTTGCTTGCAATTCATGATAATATCTCCTTTTGTGGTTTCTTGGTTCACTGTGGAGACATGCGAGAAAAACAGTTTTCTTATGAATTCAGCCAAACACAAGGTGAGTAATTCATATACAAATGGCTACAGGGGGAAGTCATCTTTAATTTAAAACATTTTGGATTTTTTTTGTGAAGATCACCACGACTGAAATTTCCACTATTCTTTGCTGAATCACGTTACCCACCTGAGTGAGACCCCGATCACACAGAAAGTATTTTAGCAGCTGGAGGCGGCTTTTTGGAATTGTTTTTAATGAGGATGAAGCTTTTTGCTCGCTGTTTCTGCGCTCTAGGTGCCTGGCGTTTTTGCCGAAGCACTCTAAACTCCTTGAGTTGAAAAAATTTAACTCAGAGCGTAAAAGCACCACACGTCATCTTTTTTTTTCGCATTGTTGAATCAGATTATCTGAGAGATGAAACTGGTGGTAGTGGGTGCTGGATATCCAGAGCTATACGGCCTGATGATAGACAGCAGGTTGTCAAACTGCCCCTGAGTCGTCCTAAAATATGCCTGTAAGCGTCCATGATGGAGGAGAAGCTCCTGGACCAACTGGTGGTACTCCCCATGATCCAGCCTCTTTTTTAGGGTCTCATGTACCCACACAGATCTCTGTTTATCTGCTGACAGCCACTCACCCTCAACCAGAGCTACAGACAGCACCCTCTGCCTCAACATGTCAGGAACTAGATACTGAAATTTAAAAAATAAATAAACTGTAGATTAAATACACGAGAAGATAAGGGTAAGGAGGTGATGGCATGGTCATCTGGCAACAATAAAAAGGCACAGCAGACTTTTTTTTTTTTTTTTACTAGTGGCATTGAATTTTATTTTATTTTTTTAAAAAGGCAGTTTGGTGCGTGCAAAACACTTCCTGTGCGATCGGGGCCTAACACTAAGACTTTGTAATAAATTCGGAGTTTTAATTTAATAGATTGAGGTCACCTAAATGAGAGCCGAACGGCGGGTCAGAACTGATGTGGGTTTTTTTTTTTTTTTTTTTTTTTACCATATTTGTTTCCACTCTGCTCTCAGAAAAGAACTGGAGGCCTCTGGAGGCCGGTGTGCCTTTGGACTGTGTGACTTGGCCCGACACAAACACACACACAAAAACTTGCCTCTCGCTCTCCGTCTCTCGATGGGACTGTTTGACCCAAGCTGTTCACACTAAAAATAGTCCTGCAGTCTGTTTGACACACACACGCACATGCACTCAGATGCATACCCACACATGTGCTGGAACAAACATGCTCTCCCTGTCTTTTTTTAAAACTTTCCTGAGCGTCAGTGCAGCTACAACAAGCGTCAGATGAGCCGTATCTACCCCAAAGGAGGCCGGGTGGACTCCAGTAATTACATGCCTCAGATCTTCTGGAACGCGGGCTGCCAGATGGTCTCACTCAACTTCCAGACCCCAGGTACCACAGCACACAACATGGGACCTCTGACCTCACACACACACACACCCATATCAAGCACTCCACACACAGCAGATACACATCACAAGCACACACGCGTAAACAAATGCAAGCACTCAATTAACCTTCTGATCTAAGACAGAGCAGCATGCAGTGAACTTGTGACCTCACATGTTCATACGACACTGAAAGCATCTTCTGCGTGTGTCATCATGAACACACACCCACTCATCAACAACCCTCACTCCCCCACATCACAGCCAAATATAGATGTGCCAATAATAACAAGAAGGACATTTGGACTTAATAAAGACCCAGATGGAAATGTTAGTTTAAAGGGTCAGTTCACCTAAATTACAAAAAGCATATTTTCTCACTTACCGCTGGTTTTATGGGGCCAAGGTTTCAGATGTCTGCAGTGGTGGATGAAACACAGATATCTCAACAGAAAATGACTTTGGTAGAAGTTAAAGTTACCTATTAAAATATTACTTAAGTAAAAGTCTGTTAGTATCTGATATTTACTGTACATTAGTATCAAAACTAATTTTATACTTAAGTACATAAAGTGAAAGTGCAAGTAAATGTTAATAAAAAAGCAAGCAGTCAGAATTTTGAGAACATGTACACCAGCTTAAAAATGGATCGTATATCACACTTGTAGAAAAATTACATCTTTAAAAACTTAAAGGATTTAAAGAGCAAAATCCTTTAAAAAATTTGTTCCACTCCTTCATTCATCTATCATTGAATGACTTTATTTAGAATTAAAATTAAAAAAAACAAGCAAGACAAAGTAGAAGTTAAACTTACCACTTTCTTACATTTCTTCTTTTGACTCGTATATTATTTCAACAAATTCCCAAATTTATTTACAACTAATATACAACCATCCCTGGTCTATTTACAGTCCAAGTACCACCCAATGTTACAAAATAAATGTGCACTCCCCTAACACAACCTTTCCTTGTCTGTATATCTGCCAAAAACATCTTCTTTGTATAGGTTTTCAATTTGATTTAAATTTGTGCTTTGTTTCAACTCATCACAAAAGTACTGTAACAAAGTATGATTACTTCATTACACCACTGGATATCTGTGCCTGAAACTTCTACCAACACTCTGATATAGTGGAAATAATGTCCCAGTTCCCCCTGGATTATCCACAGATTTTACTTGGGCTTAGATAGTTTCAATGACAACTGCAGACACTGAGATCTGTGTTCGGAGCTAATTTGGGTGAACTGAGTCTGTACACTAAAGTGTGTTTTCTTTAGTGTATAATCATATGAAAATAAGAACTGTTGTATTAACTCAGAATAAGCTATTTGTATCTACACAGTGATGGAGATGGAGATTGTCAGGTTGCTCCAGATAGGAACATTCACATTTTCATGTCGGCCGCCATAGTCAGCAGCCCCTCTGCGACGAGCTTCATCAGAAAAGCACTGATCCTTTTTAAGGTGAAAATGCTTTTTACCGATGTAAATCACTGGGTCTGTGGCCCGTCTCCAATGAGCCGGACAGCATCAGAGAAACACAAATTTGTAGCACAAAACTGATTTATTAAGTCTTTTTAATCAATTTAAATCACTGGTAAAAAAAAAAAACAACAACAAAAACCTCCTCAACAATCAACATCAGAATTCTTACCGGGAGAAGTTTCAGCTGGTCGCAATCTGTAATCCTCACTAGGGGTGAGTTCATGTACAAATATCTGTAAACGTTTAGAGTGGGTCATTTTTTTTCGTGTAAATGTGTACACGGGTTTCACCGCTAGGTGGTGCTATTGCATTATACCAGTAAAGCCCCAGTTATCCGAATACCAACCGAACGGGCCATTTAACCAACGGTTACAGGCCGCCACACCGAAATATCGCCATTCCTACGGTCCGCCATCCCGAATTCTGGTCTCTGAGTCCTAACAGTAAGCTATGGCAAGCTTGTAGAAGCTGTATTTCCCATGCATGTCAGCGATTTTCACCGGGGACGCACGCGAGTAATTCAGGCTGACATGACCTGTTTTTCAGTGAACTCCTCTGGTATTTCTATTAAAAGGCATGGCATATAGGTCCACAGTAACTGATTATTATTATTGGGTCTTAAAAAAGTGGGCTACAATGAGTACCGGGCCATCAAATAACAGCATCCGCGGTGAGAGGACACGGACTGTGTGCGCTTTTACGCACGCGGGTGTAGGCGATCACGGATATTTGATGTGGGAAAGCTGTAGCCAGATGTATTACCTGTTTTTAAGCAGCACTGAGATACGTGGCTCGTCTGTCCGTAGCATGAGTCATGTGCGCCACTTCACCACCGACCTGTGTGTAAAAGCACAAACAATTCCATGTCCTCTCACCACGGATGCTAGGGGTGGGGGAAATGTCCAATTCTTAGATGCATCGCGATTCGGACGTGGACGAATCTGAATCGATTCACAAACGTCCAAATTTCGATTATTTAAATCTGTTAATCAGAGTAATACAGAAGGTTCTAAATAATGCAGAACTAAGAAGTGCGGTACGCGTCGTCTCCGGGACACTTTGGGATGCGCACCTGGAGCAGACACGCCGACACGCGCACAGAGGAAAACAAACATGGCTGACCGCTACCCACTTCGCCGTGAGAGCTGAACAGCTTCTTCTAATTTAAAAGCAGACGTGTGGAAATACTTCGGCTTCTACAACGTTGACGGCGGAAGCAAACTGGACAAGAGCCACGTTATATGTAAGCTGTGTCGTGCTAAAATAAAATACTTTGGCAACACAACAAACATGAGAAGCCATGTAACTCGATTCCACCTGACGGAGGAGTCAGGGAGACGGCAGGCTGTTGTTGCTGCTGCAACTAGTGGCGCTACCGACCAGAGAACAATCGAGGAAGCAATTAAAAAGCTGCCACCCTCATCAGAAAAGGCGAAGCGAATTACAAAGGCCATCACGGCATTTATTGCCAAGGATTTGCGTCCTTATTCTGTCGTGGAAAATCAGGGATTTCGAGCACTGCTGCATACACTGGAGCCCAGATACACCATCCCATCCCAACGCTATTTCACCGACACTCTACCATCAAACCAAAACAGAAGTCATGGCCTCACTGTTGAAGGCAGGCAGGTAGGGTCACAGTTACATGTGATGCGTGGATGTCTATCGCCACCGAATCATTTGTTACTCTAACTGCGCATTTTATCTTGTGATTTAAGATACCTGTTGTTACCTTTGGTTCCGTACAACGAAGTTGTAACTTTCCAGTTTGCAAGCATTTCCATTTATATGTTTAATAAAATATAATGGAAATTAATTCAACTCTTTCTTATTACAAATGCACTGTTTTTAAAAATTGCAAGTGTTGAATGCTTATTCAGTGAGACAAAAAGAAATGCGTGTTGTGAAAAAGTGCATCAATATACATAAATTAAAGATGCATCAATAATCATTTTATAATCGAATCCTAGCCCCTGAATCGTGATCGTAATTGAATCGTGAGGTGCCCAAAGATTCCCACCCCTAGCGGATGCTGTGATTTGATGGCCTGGTACTCATTGTAGCCCCCTGGCGAACGACCCCCTTAACGAATGCGCCGTTTTATTAATAGAACGGAGCACGTAGGATACTGACCTGTTGCCAAACCCGGTCTCATACCATTTCTTGTCGTATTCACAGTTAGTCAACAATTAGTGTCACCCCCCTCCCCCTAAAAAAAAAAAAAAAAAAAAAAAATTTGTGTACTGATTTTTCATAACGGTTTATGATCTCAAACACGTGTAAACGGACTCACCCCTAATCCTCACAGCTAGATGCCACTAAATCCCCCTAAATCTTACACACTGGACCTTTAATGGTGACAGCAAAAAATTACATGACAACATGAAAGTAGACTGACAGGAGCCCAAAAAAAAGCATAAAATACATGACGTGAGCAACTGAGCAGGATTAAGGAAATCTTAAATGAATGCAGGCAGCAGGCTACAACAGCATGTAGCAACTACATGCCGAGACCGTTACAAACAAATGAAAATGCAGAAATGTTGTTTTGGGAAACCATGCTGCTATTTCTGGCTATTTCTCTCTAGAAAAACAACACTATATGCAAGATCAGGTAAATAAAACATTTTCACCATATTGACATAAAAATAGATCCTCACCACGGTCTGTCATTGTCTTGCATAACCGTACACACACACCTGTGGACACATAACACAAATTAGATCCTCATCTCTGCAAGTGCATGTCATTTTTTTGCAGCATCAGATTATGCATGCATGACACCTCCTACTGCACTCACCCACTTCATCTGTTCACTCTATTTCTGTTAGACACACACACTTTCATGAGCTGCTGCTCCACATACACACCTATGCAGTGAGTGATGCCTGTTGGAAAACAGCTGCTGCCCCATAGCCAGAGGCAAAAGGGGGTCGGACCATATGGCCTGCTGGGAGCTGAGCATGTGTGAGCCTGGAGGGGGGTCACACAGGAGGTGGAGTCTGTGATGGAGGGATGAATGGTTGGAGGGAGAAAAGGAGGAAGATGTAAAAAAAACTCCGCAGATAAAGGCGGAAATAAACTGTTATTGTTTTCAGATTAAATGTCTGTGTGAGTAACTGTGTCTAGTTCCTGAACACTTCTCTCATCCTGTCTCTCGTAGATCTGGCCATGCAGTTGAACCAGGGAAAGTACGAGTACAACGGCTCCTGCGGGTGAGAACAGTTCCACGCTCCTGTCCTTAGCTCATTTCCATCCATCCCATCCCTCCCTTCTCCAAAGCTCATCAATTAAAGCTTGTCACATCTCATTAGTGGTTGCCAGCAGCAACCATAGCTACTGTCTGCCCTGAGAGCCAATGAGTGCTTTGGAGAAGCGGGCTCCTCTTAACCCGCCTCTGAGGCTCTCTGCAGTCATCTATCTCTTCCTGTCTGCGTCCCTTGGCTCTAATACTGTCCCCGAGGGCACAGATTTCACTGCTAATGCTGGAAATCTCATATGTGGGAAGATCAGGGCTTCTGCAGACGCCCATCATTCCTAATGCCCCTCTGCTGGGCCCCGGGTTAACACACACAAAGCCCTAGTGCCTTCCTATACTGTACCTCCTTATTCCCGATAGACTGCTTAATTGAAACTAAAATATTTATAAACATTCTGGCATTTCAGTATCAGGATTATGTGTTTCATAACATCAGTGTTCCCACATTTACTCTAAAAGGTACATAAATTTTGTTGTGTGTGCACGTTCCTTATACACTGCATGTGTGTGTGTGTGTCAGGTACCTGCTGAAGCCCGACTTCATGCGGCGGTCAGACAGGATGTTTGACCCTTTCTCAGAGACGCCGGTGGATGGTGTCATCGCTGCAACCTGCAGTGTACAGGTCAGATCACCTGGCACTTCAATCGTGCAGGAAATCCCAAAAATGAATTTAGTAATAATAATTCAGTTAGTTATCTTTGTTGTCTTATTACACATACACATATAGCACATATACACATATCTTTACATCGCCCCAAAATGAAAAAAACACATTTTTCCTCTTACCTGTAGTGCTGTTCGTCAGTCTAGATTGTTCTGGTGTGAGTTGCCAAGCGTCAATCCCCAACGCCTTCATGTGGTCAGCTCTTTTTTCTGCTATGGTCAAGAACTTCTTTGGGTCCGATAGGGCATCCACAATTGCTGAAACACACAAAACAACTTATTATATAACAGTGAAAAGAAAAGTTTCACTGATTAATTGGTGGTTCGTATAATAGGTTCATTTTTGTTTATGCAGCACTCCAGACGACTTTTATTTCAAGCAGACATACTTGAAGTTAAAAGATATTTCCTCCTACCTGTGGTGCTATTTATCAGTCTAGACTGTTTTGGTGTGAGTTGCTGAGTGTTGGAGATATCAGCTGTGTTGATGTCTGCCTTCTCTCCAGTATAATGAAACTAGAGGGCACTCAACTTGTTGCTTTTAAAACATACATTTAAAAAACTCAACAGCAATGTCCGTTTCCAGAAATCATGACCTGGTTACTCAAGATAATCCACAGACCTTGTTATGAGCACTTTCATTAGTTTCTTAAATGTATGTTTTTTAAGCAACAAGCTGAGCGCCATCTACTTTCATTATCCTGGAGAGAAGGCAGACATTTATACGGCTGATATCTCCAACACTCAGCGACTCACACCAGAACAATCTAGATTGATAAACTGCATTACAGGTAAGAGGAAATGTAGTTTGGAGTGCTGCATAAGGGACATTTGAAAATGAATAATGACTAATTAAATAAGATTCCTAACGCTGCCCTCTGTTCTTCTTCAGGTGTTCTCTGGACAGTTCCTGTCAGACAAGAAAATCGGCACGTACGTTGAGGTCGACATGTACGGTCTGCCAACAGACACCATCCGCAAGGAGTTCCGCACACGCATGGTGATGAACAACGGACTGAACCCAGCCTACAACGAGGAGCCCTTCGTCTTCAGAAAGGTAGCAAGAAGGGCAGGAAAAGGGGGAGTCTTGGGTGAGGAGGAGGTGGAGATACAGTGAGGTAAAACGAATGTGCTGCATGAATGCCATCTGCATCGTGATGAGAGCTTTGATATTTGAGTACAGGGAGGTGAAGGAGAGGATTTGGATTGGAAGAAAGGTCTCAGTGACGACAGGAGCTGCTCATTCTAGGGAAGGAAAAGACAAATATAAGATGGCAGTACGAGCAAGAGTAAAGATAAGAGAGGAGGGCAAGACGGAAAAGTAATGTTAAAATGTAGAAAAGACAAATAGAGGGAATGGATTGTGATACTCTTGCGAATGTGGTCATCTGCAAAAGTATCACAAACCAAAGCGTAGAGAGGGGAAGAAGAGGAGGAAGATCCAGGCTTCTAGTTTGCCTTCTTTGGTTCGCTGAGGAAGAAAGGGGAAGAATCAAAGGACAGCGAGAAGAAAGGAACAACATAAACAAACAGAGGGATGAAGGAGAGATTAGAGATATAAAGAGCAAAAGAGGGGGAGAGAAACGTGTGTGTGTGTGTGTGTGTGTGTAATAGTGCTGCTCTCAGCAGAATGAGGAGTCTCTCAGCCATGACTGTGACTCCAGCTTCCTAACACACACCATCAATCACAGCCTGCCGCAGTGCTGCTCTACTCTCTCACTCACACACACACACACACACATATAAACTTACACAGTGCTATCAGAGGGGCATCACAGGCAGAGCTGCTGGCAAGACTCGTTTCTCATGTCTACACACACCAACACACACACACAAATGCCCTCAAATACTGCCACACCTTTTGCATGCATACACGGCACTGTCAAGATGACTCAGAGCGAACAACACACACCAGCGCCCCTCGCGTACAGTACATCAGGCTACATTTGTGTAAGCATACACACAAGCGGGCGCTTCCGCTCATTCATCTCCAGGGAGTATTCTTCGTCCTTATCTCTTACCTTCCTCATCGTCTAGGTATTAATCATCCCCCTCTCTCCGTTCACTTATCTCCACACACACACACAAGGCTGGTTAAGACTCTCGCTCTGTTTTTTTTTTGTTTTTTTTTCCAAGGGTGTGCACACAAGCTCATCCACGGACACAAGTTACATACACATACATATTACAAGATTTACTTCACTCCGTGTGTGTGTGTGTGTGTGTGTGTGTGCGTGTAGGTGATGGCCTTTTCAGCAGTCAGATATGCTGTGTTACTGCGCTATCATGCCTTTTCCCTGTATCACACTGTGACCGTCCCCTGATAGTGTCCCCTGCAGTTTCATCCTTGACCTTCCCCTTTAATGATGCTGTTTGTGCTTTAAAACAGACCCTGTTTTACTGCAACGCTTGCAAAATAGTTGTTAGCTTAATTCCAACCCAGAATGAGTTAAGCAGACTTCCCACAGTTCCACAGGGCTGATGACCGACTCCTGTGACTTTTATTTTCCGCCTCACTTTCTGTCCTCACATGCCTTTGCCTCCCCTGTTCCTCAACACATCTTTTTTTAACTTTATTCTGGCTCCTTCTCCGTCCCACCCTCCACTTCCCCTCGTCCCTCCCTCCTAGGTGATCTTACCGGATCTGGCGGTACTGCGCATCGCCGTCTACGACGACAACAACAAGCTGATTGGCCAGCGCATCCTGCCTCTGGACGGCCTGCAGGCTGGCTACCGTCACATCTCGCTGAGGAACGAGGGCAACAAGCCCCTGTCATTGCCCACCATCTTCTGCCAAATCATCCTCAAGACCTACGTGCCCGACGGCTTCGGAGGTGAGAGCAGAAACACACACACACATCAATTAAAAAAACTTTGTGTGTTACTTTATGTTTGTCAGAATTACGAGTTTGTTTCATACATACTTTGTTTTAGTGCTGTGTTTATTCATGGCTGATATTAAAGTTGTTTCTGTAGCCTGTAGGGAGGAGAGGAAAAAAGGAAAGTGAGGCGACTGTCTGCCGCTCACTGACTCTCTGCCTTGGGTTGGTACTCAGAGTAATGGCATGGTGCAAATGATGATGACAGTGAGTCTGCAGTAATAGACAGTTTAAAACAGGCAGAAGCATACAAATGAGCAGGACAATTGGAGTTGTCATTAAATAAAGCCAAGGGGCCTGCGCTGAGGAACCATTACTGTAACCATTAGCTGCTTTCTGTAAGATCTGCTGCCAGAATCACTTCCCAGACAGACACACGGCACTGTACGAGGAGCTCAGACATATAAAATCCTTTCCTTAAGAAACTGTTTGAGCAAGACAGATCTTACCCCAGTCTTGTCTCTCAGCAGAATGAGGCAGTAATTAATCATGCAAGAGTAGGATAGATTTAATCTCACTCTGCTCTCATAAATGCTAACACTTTATTTACTGCCTTAACATTTTGGTTACAGTCAAAAGAAATGTTGTTTTGACTACTTCAGAGATGGCTCCTTGAAGAGAATTATCTCAGATTGCCTTAATTATAAAAGGGACGGTTCATTTTTCCTCTTACTTGTAGTGCTATTTATCAATCTAGATTGGTCTGGTGTGAGTTGCCGAGCGTTGGAGATATCAGCTGTAGAGATGTCTGCCTTCCCTCCAATCTAATTTAACTAAGTGGGCTTGCAGCGCCAAAACAATGCATTTAAAAACTCATCAGTAATGTCTCTTTATAAAAATCATGATGTGGTTACTCAAGATAATCCACAGACCTTGTTGCGAGCAGTTTCATGTAGGAACTATTTTCTTTCTGCTGAACTACACCCACCAACTGTATCACTTTGAACAGAGGGAAGTGTGCATCTACTGTGCGCTCAGGCGAGGATGATGCCATAAATGTTTACATCATGTTGTGCTGTTAAAAGCACGACCTTTTGGTCCATGAATGCTTCCTTGTGCAAAGTGATAAGGGTGTAGTTTGGCTGAAAGAAAATAGTTCCTACACGAAACTGCTCACAACAAGGTCTGTGGATTATCTGGAGCAACTGAGTCATGATTTCTGCAAGGAGACATCGATGCTGAGTTTTGCAGATGGATTTCTTGATGCTTTGAGCACCATCTAGTTCCATTATATTGGAGACATCTCTACGGCTGATATCTCCAACACGCAGCGACTCACGCAAACAATCTAGAATGATTAATTGCATTACAGATGAGAGTCCCTTTAACCTCAAGTTTGTCAGCTTGAAATAAAAGTAATTTGGAGTGCTGCATAAGGGATGTTTGGACATTATACAAATGGCGAACAACCCTTCAAACCACCAATTTATCAATGAATCTTTTCTCTGTTCTATAATAAATTGTTCTATCCATTTCAGCAATTGTGGATGCCCTATCGGACCCAAAGAAGTTCTTGACCATAGCAGAAAAAAGAGCTGACCAGATGAAGGCGTTGGGGATCGACACGGTACACAGACAACACACACGCACCTCAAACTGTACCTGACTGACTGGATATGTCCAGGGTTAACTCACGTACTCTGTACTTAGATAAAACTGCATCTAAACAATAAAAAGATTGTCATTTGCCATCTAAATGTATCATTTCTTTTTCATAGAACGACATAGCAGATGTTCCAAGTGGAAGCTCAAAGAATGACAAGAAGGGAAAGGGTAAAGGAGACACTGTGAAGGCCAGTGTGACACCCCAGGCCAGCTCAGACATGGCTCAGACCTCCAACTCCGCCCAAAACAACACAGCAGAAACCAAGAAAGGTATGTACTGACACTAAAACATGTATACTGTATGTACACTGTGTTGACATGAATGTAACTGTTCTCTGCCGTTTCAGATACTGCACTCGTGCCTAATGTCAGCATTGAAGACTTAAAACAAATGAAGGTTAGTGACTGAACTCCTTACACTCAACATAACAGCTCAGTCTGTGACACAAACTATACTGTACAGCGTTACAGAATACGTAATATTGCAGTAACTGTTCAAGAGGTAATTGTTTAATTACTGAAAAGAATACTTCACCCACAAATTGATTATTTCTAATTCAAATACTCACCCTGCGTTACCTTAAATTCGTGAAGAAACTTTTGTGTTTTGTATGTCACCACTGTGAACGAACTCTCACACAACTCGTGCCGTATAATCCCAGTATCATTTATCCAGTCATATACTTACTCATAGCTATGTCAGTTTCAATTAGTTTTACTTTTGATCGCCCTGATAACCCATTAACCAGTGACTAACTGATTAACTTTTAAGAAAAAAATTCCAATATGTTGTGAAATACAAGAGGCTTTTCAGCTCTCCATTGACTCGTGAGCTTTAGCACTGCATTTCAAAGCACTGTCCATTTAGTGGTGAAGTTTTGTGATGTAAATGTCATGCCTTTTTATTTTATTTCCTGTTTGCTAGCTGCGTTAATGTGTAAACATAGTGCCCACCGCCCACCCCATGACCTCCACTGTGAGCTAGCCTTAACCACTCTGCAATGCACACCAGCTGTGTAAGGTGAGAGGTAGCTAGCTGCGCCGTTCATTCACAAGTACTGCTGGTAATGACATCCCAGTGGCGGACTGTTTTTCTGTGGAAGCACAGTGGCCACCCTCGATCTCCCCAGGTCGCTCCAGTGAGTAAGAGGCCTCATTTTTAACCACAGAGACCCTTTAGCATCGTTATCTATGTTAGCACCACCAGCAGTGCTGACACCACTAATGGTGCTTACAGTGCTAAAGGGAGTTTGTGGCTCAAAATATAACCGGAGGATGGGCACAATGTTTTCTCAGAAACGCTGTTGGGTCGGGTCGGCGTATCTACCTGTAATCGCCCAATGAACGGCGTCACTAGCTCACTCCCACCAGACCCAAGTGGTGCACAGTGCAGTAAACTGAAGAGCAAAAGTAAAATTGAGTAAAATTAACCTGTAGACAGGCATGTGTAACTGGTTAAAAGAAATTCTCTGCAGTTAATATTGATAAATGATACTTGGATTATACTTCAGGAGTTGTGTGAGTTTGTAAACAGATGTTTTGATATAGTTTTGCTGTTGTTAAATGCCGTCCCCCCTCTACTCCAATTCAGCAAGAATTTTCTCAGTTTTTGGATTCGTTGTTTACCAAAGAGGCATGCGAGGAAAAACAAAGTTTGCTTAACGAATTCAATGTAACACAAGGTGAGTACTTGATAGGGGTGTAAATCACCAGTTTCATCACAATAGGATATTATTTTGATTTGGTGTGATTTAGGGGCCTGTGATTGATATGAAATGATATTAACTGCCCATTTAACACAGTCTGTTACAGAAGAAGTTGCCATCCCTTTCTTTTCTTGCTTTTGGCCAAAAAAGACAAATACAACACATAAATAATAAGTGCAGTAAAGTTTACTTTAAACTGGCTGCACTAACTTGCGTAAAATAGCACATAGGATAAGTTAACCTTCGGGCTTTTTGCCAGAGACGTTTCTGGAAGGGCCCTTTTCTTTTAACCCAAACCATCATCTTTTTCATAAAACTTCATGTCTGTCTGTCTTAAAACCCTGAAACCCTGAAGGTAAACTTCTCCCAACAGTCATAAAACACAGATTAACAGCAACATTGTTTAACAATGTCAACTCGAATTCAATTTCAAATTCAGCTCAGTATAACCGTCAAGATTTAGAGACAAAACAATTTTTTTTTTGCTAGTGACACATTATTAGCTTAAGCATGTTTACACTGCATAAAGCAGCCAGCGGACTTTTTCCCTCGAAAGATCGAGGATCGTTACACCCCTAGTACTTGATATTAGGGGTGTAATAATCCAGTCACATAGATGCAAAGTGAAAACATTGATCCATATAGTCATCTTTAGGATAGGCTTTTAATTTGAAAGTCTGCCACTATCAGACAGCAGCAGGCAGATGGCAGGCAGCTGAGAGAAAAACGATGAGGATAATGTTATTTACTCTGGAATAAATCAGCAGAGTGGAATTATTTTGGATTTCAGAGAAAATACAGGGCAACAGACAGAGCACATGCTGTATGTAGATGATGATGTTAGGGGATAAAACACGACGTAACGTCTCACTCTGCTAGCTTCTTGCTTTAGCAACATTAGCTGCTCTGTTTTAACAATGTTCGGCTGATAAACATGCATGCAGGCTGAAATTCAATTTTACTGTTCTGTCAGGAGATGCAGTGACTTAAACCAACAGTGGCCAAATAATATCGCTTAATATCGATCGCAGACAACTTAATCGTATCGTGGCAGACTTTGTAATATCGGAAAATATCGTATTGTTGTCTAAAGTATCGATATAATATCATATCATTATGAAACTGGTGTATTACACCCCTACTTAATGATCATTTGTGGGTGAAGTATCCCTTTAAGTACCAAGAAGGTATCATCTAGCACGTACAGGCTCCAAAGTTACTAATTGAACTATAAATACTTCTTAGGGTTTTTTATAGGGTGAAGATTAGTAGGACCGAGGTGTAATGTGACCTCACTTTAATACCACAATAGTGTTAAAATGACTTAATAGTAAAACTAAGCAGTTATGATAGCTAACTTTAAGTAATTACAAGCACCTAATGCTGCACTATTTCTAAGAACCTTCTACTAATTGTATGTAATTATCTTGTCTTTTCTTGATAAAGCTATTACGCTCAAAGTCTTTTCTTAACATAACCTCCTGCATGAAATCAATACCTGCTCTCCTCTCCCCCTGCAGACGTACCTTAAACTGATTAAAAAGCAACAGAAGGAGCTCAACACTTTAAAGAAGAAACACTCAAAGGTGGGTGATTGTTTTAGTGCCGACCTGTCTGTTGGTGATGCAAAGAGGCTGCCGCTTGTCCTGGACAGTCATTGATGCTCAGAGGGACAGTGAGGAGGCGAGGTGGAGGGCCGGCTCAAGCTTTTATCTTCCACTGACTGCTGCTTCATCACCTGCACACACATGCATACACACCAACATTACACTCAGACGTAAATGCAGCCACATCACTAACGTTGCGTAAGAAATTAGACTTGCTAAAGTAGCTTTTCCTTTGACCGGAGCTCCATAGAGACAGTGGTGGGTGCTGGCTCATTCATAGAGGCTGATTAATTATCATATTATTAAGTCCTATTCTTGTAACGCATGTATTAAAGTACCATCTGCTGACTGAATGAAGACGACTGCTGGTTCATTACATGATGTAGGCGACAACATATTATGCTTTTAAAATAGTAATCACAGTTTCATATTGCAGCTGCCTGTTTTGCTTTGATATCTGTCTTATGCTTAATACAGTCTCAGTACAGGTCACAACTGCAGTCCCACAGCATGGATAAATACTTGTGATACATGGTTTTTTTCTCAATAGGATCAGAATACAATGCAGAAAGCCCACTGCTCCCAGGTGGACAAGATGGTGTCTCAGCATGATAAAGAGAAGACAACTCTGGAGAAACTACTAGAGAAAGCCATCAAGAAACGAGGGTAATTTGAAAACAGAGAAACTAACATGTTCAACATTTTGTGAGGGGGAAAAATCTAAAATGTATGCATGTACTGACATCACTGCATTGCCCGGGTTTACTGTGTTTACTAATTCTTAAATACACATTTACCAATAAAAGGCCTTAAAAAGTATTAAATCGTCTTCAATTCAGATTGAATGGATCTTAAATGTTTGTTAGTCACATCACCGATGTAATTTTTTGCATTGGTGTCATGGGAAACATAATTTTAACAGGAGGGAGACACCACACGACGGGATACCAAACTTCAACACAAAACTACAAAACTTGTATGTGCACAGTGCCCCTATGTTTGCCCCCTTCGCACACTTCGATCACACCATGAGTCATTAATGGGTAAAATGCAAGTGCACAGATGAATAGCTTAAAGGACAAACAGCAATTACTCATGGTGGTTAAAGCCAGAGCCTGGAAATGTTTACAAAGCAAACAGCACTGTATGACAAAGGAGTTTTAAATGTAAAATGGGGATCAGGGTGGTGGAATTGCACATGTAGAGTTGTAAACACAGAAAGTATTGTCACGGTCATTTTTTACTGTTCATTTTGAAGTGACATCAATGTGTTTATTTGGAAAGACTATATTTTCGCTTTTGGTGTGTATTTCCATTGCAAGTTTGGTCTTAAATTTCATGTGAAGTGGTATTGAAAGCTCTTAAAAAGTCTTAAATTTAACTTGTTTATACCTGTAGACATTCTGAATTCAGATTCAGTGATACCAAGTCTGCTTATCTTGCATAGCCAGACCTCTTGGTCGCTGTGGGTAGTTTGCTTCTTAAAACCAATCACACCTGTCTTGGGTCGCCTTAAGCCCAGGATGCAGCCCCTTGCAAAACAGTGTTACGAGGGAACTTATTTTGGTGAAACATTTACACATAGGGAGGTGAGCCCTGGCAATGTCTATATCCCTACAACAGTAAACGCAACATAAAACATTAAAAGATGTTTTAGCGTGTAGGTCACTAGCTCGGTGGTTGTTTTACGCACAGCGCTATAACAAAGAGTGGAAATAGGTCTGGCTATGTGAGACTACTTTCACGTAGCAACTAAAATTTTGGAAATGTATTTCTGTCTGAAATAGGTGGCCAATGGCAGGCTTTATACCAACAGACTACATCCTGTGAGCCAGACTACAGGTCTGTTGATGTTTGAGCCAGTTTGTGTAATATGCTTTTCAAATAGCCAATTTTGGTAAATCAAAACCTTAAATCTTAAACATAATAATAATAATAATAATAATAATAATAATAATAATAGATTTTTACTACAATATCAGATAAAAAAAATTAGAACTCCAAAGGCAGAACTTTTACACAAGCTTTTGGAAAACCTAAAGGACACTCAGTTTGATCTGTAAGGCCTCTTGAAACTGAAATCCCACAGAATTTGACTGGCATGGTCTAAAATCATCACTTACATGTGTGTGGTTTGCTCACAGGGAAAACAACTGCCAAGAGCTGAAGAAGGAGACAGAGGATAAGATCCAAACACTGATCGCCGATCACAAAGTCAAGGTAACACAAAACTTATTACCCTAAGCCAGCACTCTTTACACAAAGTTAATAGCTGTGAGGATGACAAGAGCCTCAGCTGTGTATAACTGATTGAGGTTTGTGTGTGTGTGTGTAGGTAAAGGACATTACAGCGCAGCACACTAAAGAGTGGTCGGAGCTGATCAGTAGTCACAGCAGCGAGGAGCAGGAGATGAAGGACAGCCACGTCACACAGCAGTGCGAACACCTCAAGAAACTCCTGGCCACCGTCCAGGAGCAGCAGACCATGCAGCTCAAACTCATCCATGAACGGTGAGAGGCTCAAACACACACATCCATGCACACATGCACATAGAGATGCACGTGTGTACACTCATTTACTGCAGGTGATCAGATCCACAGGGGCAGCAACCCTGTGGATCACTAAAATGAAACTCCAGTTGCCTAACTGTTGCTTGCAGCTTTGAGTGTTAGTGTCACTGTAAATGCTGATTGTGACAAAGTTTTCTTGTGGTACACAATTTCAGGCAGAGCAAAGAGATGCGGGCCAACCAGGCCAAGATGTCCATGGAAAACAGTAAAGCCATCAGCCAGGACAAGTCCATAAAAAACAAGGCAGAGAGAGAGAGGTGCGTCACACACACACTGCATCCATCTATTATCATGTCATCGTTCAGCTGTTGGATTGTTACGTTAGAATTGTAACGCCATGGTTCTGCCCTTTGTGCTATTCAGGAGAGTGCGAGAGTTAAACAGCAGCAACACCAAGAAGTTCCTGGATGAGAGGAAGAGGGTGGGTTGTTTACTGTTTACTTGTTTAAATATTTTGTTACCTAAAAAAGACACCAGGGATTCTCCCAGTTCACTACACAGTGGATTAATACTATACGAATATTTGAGTATCAACTGCTATTACAGGATTTTTATTTAATTTTACAGTATAAATAATAGGAAATGTTTCTACTTTGTAAAAAAAACATTCTGCTTTCTGTGTGACACAACCTGTTCTGTAGTGAACTTACAGAGTGTGTGTGGAGATCAGTACTACAAATACAATATAGGTGAAAACAATACAGCAAATTTACTAAAACAAATACGAGATGAATCCAAAGCAATTCAGTTTGATGGATGTTTTTGGTTTCCTCACAGTAATAGAAAGAGAGGAAAAAAACCTTTGCTGTCGCTGATCTTTGACTATAACACCTTGAGTGAATTTTCAGAAAAAACAGTCCAAATTGTCTGATTCCAGCTTCTTAAATGTGAATATTTTCTGGTTTCTTTACTCCTCTGTGTAAACTGAGTATCTTTGGGTTATGGACAAAAACAAGACATTTGAGGACATGATTTTGGGCTTTGGGAAACACTGATTGACATTTTTAACCGTTTTTTACTTTTTATAGACAAAACAAATCATCATTTAATTAAGAAAACAATTGACAGATTAATTGATGGTGAACATAATCATAAGTTGCAGCCCTGGTGTCCACACAGACCTATATGGAGCTGTGTAAGTCACAACAGTTTCCACAACACAGTCCTGCAAATACTTTACAATAAAAGCCTTGTGTCATTGGAATTCTGTCTACAGAAACACTATATGGCTTTTAATTTGGAACAGAAACAGGAAGTTTCATGGCTGGGACATATACTGCAGATATGGAAGTTACTGGTATGATGTCAATATCACTATCAACAGATCATTTCACTCTCTAGTTTTGCTGAGAAGCAGCAAGTTGCATGGAAAAGACTCAGAATCCGTAGATAAGCAGTGCGGCTTCTCTAACCTGTTAACATGGGCGCTGAAATAAAACCCCAAAGGTTCCACAATGCACATGCTTTGCTCAGGCCGGCGGTATGGCCCAGTCGTTAGTCATTGTCTGAGACTCAATGTTCAAATAATTAACTGCTTACTTACGAAACAGTAACTACATCATTATAATATTTTGTCCCTGGTGTATCTGCAGCTGGCCATGAAGCATCAGAAGGAGATGGAGCAGCTAGAGAAAAACCAGAGAGAACAGTTAGAGAAACTGGAGAAGTTCAATGAGCAGGTACGACACTAAATAACAAAAACTGAACCCTACAGGCAACATGCGACTACCAAAAACGATTACTCAAGATAACTTGCATGTTTGCCATCAGCTGCCTGCTGTCCAACCACAGCATTTATTAGCCCCACTTCCTGCAGACACCTGAACCTCTCTCAGTTTATGGTCCTTTGTGCTTCACTGGCTTTTTAAGTGTAAATGAAACTCAAGACGGGGGACCAGTGCAGCTCTCTGGCTGATTTCTTCCCTAGATACTGTAATGGCTGCAGTTTCTGTCATCTGTGATGTAAACTGTAATTAGTTTTACAGGAAGTGTTACACATAGCTGCCTCAAGAGACCCTTCAGACAAACACCCATGTTCATCCCACAAAATAAACACAAAGTCCATCTTAAAGAATCAGAGTCTCAATGTTTCTTCAGTGTGCCACCTGGCCGAACTGTTTCTCTACCCTATATATAATACGTGCACACTACCAAGTATAGTTCACTTTGCATATGAAGTTCTCATATCTCCATCTATCATTTTATTTTGCCATCAGTCACACTCCGTTACCTGTACATGTCTTACATGTATGCACATATTCATTTGTTTTTAATATGATTTGCTTCTTCCGGCACAGCTTTTGAAATCACACCATGCAAACAAACAGGTTCAAGGTAGGCATCTCCATCTCACTCAACTCTACCTCTGATTCCACCTTTCTGTCAGTGCATCACTTTGTCATCATGTTTGCTTCCATCTGTCTCCCTTCTACCTCTCTGTACATTACTCATATTTTAATGCCTCAATTTGCTGCTGAGACTGTTCAAGGTATACTTCACACACACAAAATGACCATATGTATATCAGTTACTCAAACTGTGTTGCACTGAGTTTGTGGAGAGCTTTTCTTGCATGCCTCCTTGATGAAGGAAGAATCCGAAAACAGAAATTTCTTGACGTTTTTGGATTAAAAGGGGGCAGAAAACTATATCCAATCATCCATTTACAAACTCACACAACTCATGCAGTGTACGTTTCATTAATTGAGTTGTATGCTCAGCACTTCCCAAACAGACAGCCCTTACCGACAGGGAACTGAACCGAAAGTGAAACTTATCACTGCTCTCCTAACAGCCAGACTCCATTGACAAAAACAGTAATTTTACCTCGCTGAACACAGAAGCTACTGGTCTACCGCTGCCTTGATGGGTTTGTTTTATTGTGCAACTTCTGTCTAAGCTATCTCTTTAAAACACCAAAGTCACACAATAACACAAACAACCAATAAAGGCAGCAGTAGACGAGCAGCTCCCGTGTTCAGCCAGGTAAAATTGCTGTTTTTGTCAGTGGAGTCTGGCTTTGAAGAGAGAGCATAGATAAGGTTCATTTTTAGTTTAGTTTTAAGGTTTCAGCTAAAATGCATGCGTTTGTAAGGTATTGAGTAAACAACTGGATAATTGAGACTTTGATTATACTGCACAAGTTTTGATAATTTTTGCTTTAATTAAACGCAGCCCCCTTTTACTCCAATTTATCAAAAATTTCCCTCAGTTTTTGGATTCTTTATTCACCGTTGAGGCATGCAAACAAATTGAATGTAACACAGGTTAAGTAACTGATTTACAAACAATAACTTTGTGGGTGAATTATTCCTTTAAAATCTGTATTTTCCTTCCTTTTAATTGACTACTACAATGAGCACTCTGGAAGTGACTCACCACTGATTAAAGCAGGGAAATAGTACATGACAGGTCCGCCTTTGAAGAGATTGCAAGATTTAAAATTAAAAAAAAAAAAAAAAAAGACAGAAGAAAGAAAGTGATTCATTTTCTTTGTATTGTAAAATCCCATTCCCACATTTGTAGTCTGCAGCTCTCGGGGTGTCAGCAGTGCCAACGAGCAGCTTGAGTCATTTATCACCATGACTCACCAGCTATTACTAAGCAAAAACAGCCAGCTCCCAACCTGCCCCACTGTGCTTTCACTCCAGCTCATAATCATTTGCTTTCATAGTATGTGACAGTGTCCCACTGCAGACATTTTGTGGCAACCATTACACAACACTCCTACAAAGCATGTGGTTTAAATTACCTGCAACAGTGTGCAAGGAAATGCACCCAACAGAGAGGATTATTACCAAGGTAGAAACCGATGTGTCTCTTACTGATGAACAGATAATAGAAACTACATAAACAGGTGAGATAAACTAATGACATACCATGACTCAACAACAAGGACTGCCCGATCACCTGGAGCAAATCAAATGCCACGTCAACCTAGCAACTCACTGGCCAGATTGGGCAAGCGCTAAAAAAGAAAACACATTGTTTTTCCAAGAGCTGATGATAGAAGTAGCCAAAGAGTGAGCCATCTCGCTTCGTTCTCATCTCTGTACCAATCAAGCTCTTGTAAGAAAATGGCGCCAGGGAAAAGACAAAATTTATGAGCTGAAGCACAAGAGAGTGTTTCAATTATCCTGGAAACAGGAGTTCTTTACGGGTGCTGATAGAGGATGTGGCCAAATTCAAACAATGGATTGAACAGTGTGCTGCAAATTTCAGAAGCACGATATAAAGAGGTAGTATTTTAAAGACATATCAAGTTTCCCAAACACAAAGTCTTTGCTGTTAATTTATAAAACAGTTTAATAAATAAAACAGTTTGTATAGGGGCAAGTAAAAATCTACTTCGGGCAAGTAGATTTCTAAAAATTTTGCCCGACTGGGCAAGTGGAAAAAAAGACATGAAAGTTGACCTTTGTGTAACATTCAGAATATGTAACTATTGCTATGTTTATGCCAAGTTATTTTAAGAAGCCCTAAGATGGAGACCTTTAAAAATGCTGCTGACTCTGTTTTAGTCTGGACAGGGGGAAACAGATTTTTAAAAACGATGACACAGACACTGAGGTTCATTTTCTGATAGGGTCTTATCCTGGGTTGGAAATTAGTACCAGCCACCAGCCAAATGCTGGCAGAATATGCTATTTGCTTCACTCACCAGCCAAAAACACAATTGTAATCTACTGAGTGGCTGGTAGATTTTGGAATCCATCTGCCACAATGGCAGGTAGACAAAAAACTTAATTTCCAACCCTATCATTCATGGCATGTCAAGTAAAAACATTATAGCTATGCCTGCATATCTTCAGTGAGGTATCTTTAAAAACAGGGACAGTGCACAGCTTTTTAGCTGCACCAGATTTAGCTATAAGCTAATTTTGATATCTTTAGTCCCTGGGCAGGAAACAATAATTTCTCTGCTCCAAGACACTGTTATATAAAAAATACAATTACAAAATAGAACCTATTCATGACACAATGGCTTCAGCAATAACAACAGCAAGACAACACAACATCAAGTCATGGCAACAATAACAGTAGCAACAACTACAACACAAAGACACCATGGTGGGTCCTCATTTCCCATCACCATGGCTTCCAACGGCGATTGATAATGCTCCCAGTACCTCTCTAATATGTCGCCCCACTTGCTTTGCAACACCTCCTAATACGTTATCTGCCGCCTTGACTGTCTTATACTAATGTGTAACTTTTACTAATAGTTCTACCTCGTTGTTGGTACAAGCAAAGAAACCTCTGGACTTACTTTTCGTTGTCTCTGTAGTATTTTTTGTAACTAAGCAACCAACCGAGTAGACAATCTCCTTTCTGTCTTCACTGGTACGCACATGCCCAGTGTAGTGTTGTCAAAAGTAGATTTATTGTTATCTTTATATATCAGTTCTGAATATTTAAAACGCTTTCAGTACTCATTTTCTGCATTATCAATGCACCAGTACCAGCTGCGCTTTCTTGAAATCATTCAGCTGTTCTCTGCTACTAACCGGAAAAAAAAGTTGGCATTATGTTATCGCCTTGTTATATTTATGTTTAATAAAAAATTGAATTTTATGTCCAATGTCCTATCATGTCAAAATTGGTATTAAATATCCAATCCAAGTTCGAGCTTCCAGTATCGTGACACCACTTTCCCAGTGTATGTGAACGGTCATGATTTGCATTTTCTAGAGCGTTAGTATAGATGGAGGTTATTTCTGAAACGGTTCTAAAATTCTTGTGTCTATGGAAATCATATTCTTCCAAAATGCCATTTTAAAATGAACAGACATTAGTGTGGATGTGGCCGAGTGTGAGATTTAGTTTCTGTGTCTGTGCATCTGTCTAACTGTGATTTCTGTCTCCTCAAAGGCCAAGGACATGCAGCAGATGGTGAAGTTGGAGGAGGAGATGGACCGCAGACCTGCCACGGTGGTGTGAGCGACTGAGACCGAGACACAAGCACACACATACACGTACACTTATATACACACACATGCAGGTGCAGAAACACTCCACCGCGGATACCCCCTCTACAACCCAGAGACATTAACACCCACCTACGTCACTGTCTTTACTTCTCCATCATGTCTGTTCACACAAACACAGTCGCCCTCCCCACCACTTAGTTTCTGCATCCTTACCCCACCCACTAATTTTATACCACTGAGCCATTGGTGCTTATCACTGTCTGACAGGGGGTTTAACCACTTATCGAGAGAGGAGATGAGGCAACACAGAATCAAACGTATCCCCTCCTCCACCGTACGTACGTCTAAATTTTCTATCACCTTCTTTGTATCCTACGGGCAACACAAGCTGCAGCTACTGGTGGACACACACAACACATGCACAGACACATTCACTTACGAGAGGGAGGTGGATATCCGTTCCCTTTTTGACTTTTTTATTTTACTTTCTTTCTTTAAAAAAAAAAAAAAAAAATCGGTACCTGATTAACTGCTCCAGAAACAGCTTGGACGAGGAGAGAAGAATATGTTTAAGATTTAATGTCATTTCAGCACAAATGAATAAACTTTGTGAAATACACTGTACGCTACACACCAGTCCTGTCCTGAGCACTTTGTATGTGATAGGCCATCATAACAATGTGGAAAATGTAGCAGTGCACTACTGTAGGTTTTCTGTATTTCAGTAAGAATGTATTTAAAAAAAAAAAAATAAATCACTGTATGAAGGAGTGGCAGACCTCCGTGTCACCTACACCTACAATGCAAGTTGTGTGACTTCACAAAAATGTATTACTGACTTTGTTTTGTTCAACAATGTTACAGCCAACTATAAAAAGGCTTTCTATCTGGAGTCTGAAAACTATAAAGGGATCACGATGGACAGACGCTCACTTTGAATACGGCCAATTTCCCAGTCCAATTTTTTTTTAATGACCCAAGAGATTGTGAAACTGCTGTGCTCAACTTTTACTTGAAAGTAACTTTACAATTGTGCCCAATCATCATAAGTTTACACCTGCAAAACTCAGCGTTATATACTCCTAATTTTGGGCTGAAGTTCATGTATACTATGCAAAAAATGAACACATGATTCCCTCAAAGTTTAAAGTGTACAAAAAATGATCAATCAGGAAGGCCACCAAAGTAAGAATAGGTGAAAATATTACAAGGTAATAGTAACTAAAATGTGGTTGCTTTTTTAGCCTTTAATGTAGTGACAAAATTGTTGGATCACTACAAACCAAGGCAATGACATTAGTTACAACACTGAATTGAAAATGTGACTCTATAATAAAGGGGATATCTATCAGTAAATAAAGGGTTAAGCAGGATTAAATGGGTGTTTGAATCGAAGGAATACTTCATCCCCACAATGATCATTTGTATGTCATTTACTCACCTTGTGTTACCGAATTTATGAAGACAACTTGCATGACTCTGGTGAACGAATCCAAAAGCTAGATAGTTTTGCTGTTATATACAGACTTCCATGACTTTAATTCTTCAAGAGATTTTGGATTCTTTGTTCACTGTGGAGAAGAGCTGCAACAATATTGATTAGTTGTTACTATGAAAATAATTAGCAACTAATTTTACAATTAATCTGTGTGAGTCATTTTTAAGAAAACCAAAGTCCAAATTCTCTGACTCTAGCTTCTTAATTGTGAATATTTTCTTGTTTCTTTTTTCTTCAGACAGTTAACTAAATATCTTTGGATTGTGAACAAAACACACGTATGAGGACATCATCTCATGCCAGTCTTCTCGAGCTCAACATAACACAGGTTGAGTCACTGATATAGAAACTGTCATTTGGGCGGTGAAGTATTCCTTGAAAGAGTTTTGCACTTGAAACTCTTGTGAAATTGTGCCAAATCTGTAATACACTGGTACCAAAATGAGTCCATTCATGGCAGCACAATCATTCTGCTGTAATACACTGTGTTAATTGACCAGCCCATTAACATCAGACAAGAACTTTGGCTGACAGAAGTCACAGCCACCTCGTCTCGTCCACTCGCTGCTGAAGTGAAGTGCTCCCTTAATAGCTTCTCGACTGCACGTAAGCAACCTCAGCTTGTAATCCTCATCATTTCCCTGCTCGCCCTCGGTCAGGGGACTGAATAATTATAACAGATTTGTAACAAAGCCTGTGACATGGCTGCAACACACTTTCCACGCCAGGGATTTCAGACTATGCCTGTTACCCCTCAACAGGTTCCCTCTTACTTTTATGGGACTGCTGATTGCTTGAGGAGGCACTACTGTCCGCAGCCCTGGTGACACTGCAGGACAAAAAGCCACTGCAGAGAAAGAAATGTGACGTTAAGGATATAGTGTGTGAGATTTAGGGGGAATTAAATGGCATTTAGCAGTGAGGATTGTAGATTGCAACCAGGTGAAACCTCACCCAGTCAGAATTCCTTGTTCAGGAGGTTTTTCCTGGGAGCTGAATTATCCGCAGAGGTCTCTTTCTCTCCGAAACAAACAGACCAGGGGTCTCATTTATAAAACAATGCATAGGATCCATACTAAAAATATACGTACAAACAAAAGTCAAAAATGGTGTACGCCAAAAAATATCTGACAGTTGCTACAATCAGGCTTCAACCTCACCATCTGCATCGCCAATATCCTGTCTCCAAAATGTTTGTAAGCACAGGTCAAAGTTTCTCCCATCAAGTCTGTTTTTTAAGATCGAAACTTTTGCTCGGGAAGTGGCGTACACCTCTTTCAGGCCTCGTTTTGGGCGTATGCAGTGTTTGTAAATGAGACCCCTGGTGATTTAAACCAGTAAAAACACTTAATAAAATAGCTCCACGTTAAAAAATGAGTGTTTCTCCGACACTTTTCCACTCATAGAGGGGCTCCCAACTACACTGGCCAACGCAAAAAGATCCAGATGTTCAGGAAGTTTTTACTCGGAGCCGAAATTACCCACAGGGGTCTCGTCTGCTCCAAACCAAACAGACCAGCTGATTTAAACTGGTAAAACACTGAATCAAACAGTTCACATTAGAAATCAGTGTTTCTCTGACAATCTCTACAGTGGCCAACACAAAAAATGTCCCTATCTGGACCCGAGTTTGGTTTGTCCATTCTGGGCTACTGTAGAAACATGACAATGCAACATGGCGATATACATAGACAAGGATCCGCTCCCTATGTAGATTCAAACAGCTGATTCTATGGTAATGAAAACACAACAATTCTTATTTTCAGGTGATTATACACTAAAGAAAACATACTTGTTATATTTTACTCAATTTCTGCCAAGATATCCCCCTAAATCCTGCACGCTGGACCTTTGAGCATAACTAGGAAGTAATCCTGTAGGTGCTCGTGCTCATGTGATCATGCCAGGCATTCACACTGCATGGCACACCACTAACAAAGATCGGCCAGAAGTCGTAATAATAATATTAATAATATTGATATGAAAACACACAAAGATGGGGATAAAAGCACCTCGAGGTATTCTGGCCTTTTTTAAGATTTGTTTTTCTGTATTATTCTGCTGTACCACGCGTAAAAGGGTAGACGGGATGTTCTTGTATATACTGGAATGTATGTAGTTTAATTTACTTTTTGACCAATTGTGTTCTGCCATACAAGGGCTCAGGGGAAAGAGTGGGTCTGTTGGATGTTGGGGAAAGACATTTATCAACCACTGGGTTTTCTTGTTTGTTCTTTTCTTTTTGTTTTGTTTTTTGGTCTCTGTTTTCCAGTCTGCCCTTAATGCACCACACGACACAGTATAAAGCTCTCACCACATATCTAGTGCAGAGATAAATGAGTAAAAAAGTGCTTTTAAATTTTATTCCATCGCTTTCAAATGTGCCACTCAGTGTCTGTTAGGATGGTAAATTATTTTATGAATGATAAAATGCCAAATTAAGGGGTTATTTATATGAAGATATATATAAATAAATGAATATATATATATTATATATATTAGATATAATGTGTAGTTTAAGATTATTATGTTTGTTAGAGGCTTTTTTGCACTAGTCGAATGTTTCTGTTGTGTGATTACATGTAACCTTTGGCTCTCTAGTTTGTCAAAAGAAAAGGAAAAAAAAAAAGAAGCCGATTATTTTTGCAGAGCAAGTCACCGATTTGATTTCCTCCGTTTCTACTGTATCTCCTCTTTGTTTTCTATTTGAACTGTAGCTTGTCAACAAACCATTCTGTGCGTGTTTTTGTATTTATATTGTATTGTTGAACTTAAAGCAATGAAAATACTGTTGTGATCCAGCTCCTTTAATACTGTTTTATAGTATGTGTACCAATAAATCCAGGTGTAAAATGGGACATAACCACACGGCTCAGTTGTGTTTCTTCAAAGTACGACTGTGGGTCTGTTGTTTTTTTTGTTAAAACATATTTCTCCTTTCATTTAATTCAGGGGGGGATAAGCATTTTTATTTGAACACAGAAAATAAAAGTTGTGTTAAGCGGAATATTAAAGTGCTTTGTGTAACTGAAGCCCTCTTAACACTTTGATTGATTGTTACTGTATTGAAATTGGGATACATTGCTGTTGCTCTTAGATATAAGGATAGAAGAAATATATAAAAATATATGGGCATTAATGCTAGTAGATATATATAACCTGGGTCTTTTTTAGAGCATAGAAAAAACAGGAAAAACAAAGCCAACAGGCAGCACATCATATGTAACAGTGGCCACAGGCAGAGTGATTAGTACAAAGTAGTAGTAATAAAAATGAACTATACAGAAAAGGAGAAATACACACAGCAAGGTGCTTTATCTAAAAAATATTATATATTAGTCTTCGCCCTGAAAGAATTTCAGTACAGGGTCCCAAATCTTATCAAACACAACACCTCTATCCTCGTTATAGAATCTCAATCTCTCCAGATGTAACTTGTGTTTGCCCTTTCATTTAACCATGAATCATATGTGGGAACAGAGTCCATCTTTCACACTCATAAATTGCCTTCTTTGCAATCACCACTCCAAATGAAACAGCCATTTTTGATGTTTGCTAGCATAGTATACAGTGCAAGTCGCTCCAAGGATAGCTATGAGTGGATCAGGTTCCCACCTGAGTCCTTTTATCCCATCTTTTAGTGCTGAGGTTGAAGTCCAGTATTGAGTGAGAGGGTAAAACAGGCTTCAGTGTAATCCCTGCAGGCACCATCAATTTTACATCCATTATAAGTGCTTGTTTTTTCCACTGACAGGTTGAGGCATTTAATTTAAATGTCTGACAACATTATGGAAAGGATTCCTAGAGATAGACCTTTTTATTAAGGAGTAAGATCTTCTTTGTTAAACAAGAAACAGCCCTGAAATCACTATTGCCAAACCCACTGGACTCCATTTAAATAAATGGTAATTTAAGTATATATATAGAGGCTTCACATTTTCACATCTAACTGGTTGAATTAATGGTTTATTTCAACCAAACCAGAGTTGGTGATTGTTGGAACAGTGAAGTCAAACCAAGGCGGCTTTCTAGTGTTTTGTTTCTATCGACTCTGAATGGATTGTGTCATTCATTTTGTCAAACTGGACAGAATCAGGTGCATAATGAGGGGCTCCCTGAGGAACATTTGCATGATGTGGGATCTGTTTTTCGAGTATGTATGAGAGCTAGACTTTCCAGATATTCCTGAATGATTGATCATCTATTTTACAGACATTAAATTGTGATGTGACAGGCAATTGTCTGACAAACAACCATTATATTATGTTTTAGTATTTAGTGTTAATTTTTATCATCATACAAGCATTTCCACATATTTTAATACTTTAATTTTATTACTGTATTTTGTTCTTTGTCTTGTTCTGGGTACTGATTCGGTTTGTAGTATTTGTCTTGGTGCTGTCTTGGTGTTGTACTGTTCTTATTTTACTTACCACTTACTTTTTTGTTGTGTCACTATTGGTATGACCAGATATTAATTTGTTTTCTATCTGCTCTATTTAGGAAATTTCAAAAAACTGATTGTGGGGGGGAAATGAAAAGTGTGTTTTATGATGATAAAATTACTGTTTATTTAAGAGGAGTCTGGTGGGTTTGACTATAGATGTTGGGGCTGTTTCTGGCTCAACAAAAAAGATCTTACTCTTTAAGAAAAGGTCAATCTCTGTAGGGATCCTTTCCATAATGTTGTCAGACACTTAACCCAATGATCTGAGCTGGTCAGTGGCAAAAACAAGCACTTTTAGTAGACATAAATTGATGGTGCTCGATTGCCCTGCAGGGGCACGCTGCAGCCTTTTTCACCGCTTCTGTCTGCAGCCCTCTCACTTTATTCTGGATCAGTTTTTAAAAAGTTTTGTTCCCATTAATCACTCAGACATAAAAACATGGGACAATAAGATCCAGATTGAAAAACACAGAAGTCACCCTTTAACGTTTTTTCTAGTCCCCCCCCCGCTCAGTCTGTTCTCTTGCGATATGTGACCATTGTGTACTGAATGTCTCGAGTGGGGTCACACCGTGTCCGCAGCCCAGATTTATTAATCAGGCGCACACAGCCCGCGCGCACTTATCTCCCACACAATGACCACTGCTGCTGTCTAATCACATTCAACAAGTGCGGGGTGAATTTATCCCCCAGATACACTCTTGAACAGGCGGCTGCAGCGCTGAAGCTCTTAATTGTCATTATAAGCAAAGTATTTCCATGAGAAAGACGAACAAAGCGCCGTCATTATGTTTGCGTTGCCCGGCAACTCCGTGGCTTCCGTCTTCACTATATAACCGAGGTGATGGGTTTGTTGGGTCAGCACTAGTCTGGAGGAGAGGGTTAGAACTCTGCTCCATATTACAGAGAGATCATATTCCCCATGCTGAAGGCTCAGGAGAAGTCCGGAGGGCAAACAGGCACTGAGATCCTCCTGGAGGCGATGTCCAAAGATAAAGTCCACCTGGCCAGGTTCGTCCTGGACGCGCTAGATGGAGAAATTGTGGACTCCAAAACAAAGAGCGCACAGACGCCCCTCATCTCCTCCATCCTGCTGCCTGACAGTCAGACTCGGTGTAAGTTTGTAGAGCTCCTGCTGCACAGAGGAGCCAATGTCAACTGTCAGGACGGCAGCGGGCGCACTGCGCTCAGCTACGCCTGTGAGAAAGGCTACCTGGATGCTGCGAAGATCCTGGTCCGAAACAATGCAGACCCGGAGATTGTGGACGCCTGGGGGAACACCGCGCTAATGTACGCCGCAGTCGCAGGTCACTCACCTGTGGTGGAGTTTTTGGTGAGAGCTTTCAAGAGGCTGGGTCTTCAGATAGACAGGCAGAATAAAGTTGGAAACTCTGCTGTGGAAGTGGCGAAGTTTCTCGGCCACACAGAGTGCATCTCTGCGCTGACCAACACCTCCAGGAGGGGCCGTGAGGCTGAGGGAAGCGCGCAGGGATGTGGCGATGTAAACGACAAGTTTGAGAGGAAAGTTGGACACTTAGTGAATAAACTCGAGGTGCTTCAGACGTGTGATCACGCAGATTGTCAGTTGATGCAAAACTGCTCTTGGCAACCAAGGCCTCGGATAAAACAGAGCCGGCTGTCATCGATGGACTCTATAGAGGAGTTTGAAAGAGAGAATGACGACTCATCTTCGCCTCCACCGGAGCTGGTCTTCTCACAAGTCCTAACCCCTAAACCCCCTCAACATTCTCCCAACTCTAAGCATGCTAAAACCGGGGAAAGGCTGACCACCTCTGATGATCACCTCCCTCCTCTTAAACAGAGCTGCGAGGCGTCAAAATCTATGTTCTTCTCCCCCCGGCCCGGCAGAAACACCCGCAAACCCAGCGCGCCCTCAGCTCTGGGCATCTTACTGGCTCCCATTCTTACCAACAAAAGTGAGACTGATCCAGGGGCAGAAAAATCAAAAATGCTGGACTTCGGTACGCGCAGATTTTACGACAACTACTATCAGAAGAGATGCAGTCTACCAACCAGTATCCTCAGCCCCACACCTCCGGACCGCACGCTGGTGCCCGCGCGTAAATCCAAAACCATCAGGAGGCGCGATGCGTCTCCCTGCAAGGCTGAGCCTCCTCTGTTCACCGCACCCACCGCCGCTCCTTCAAACAGCACCTTCTCGGTGTTGAGCAACAAACTCTTACGCCGATTCACCTCCCCGGAGATTAAGAAGGACGCGAAAGAGTTGGAGAGCAATCAGCTGTTCACGTCAGGACGCATTCCGCGGTCAGAAACTTTTCCTCAGGACATGAAACATCCGCAGGTGGGCAGTAAACCCAGCATCGACAGCATCAGCAACGTCAAGTGTGAGTTTGACACTCAGTTTAAAATTCCAAACTCTTAGAAACCAAAGTGCGCCATGCGTAAAAAGTGTTTGTACTCATCCGCCACTAATTTAACGAACAGAGCTACATCAGAGCGATAATCTGTTCCAATCAGTTTCGCTAAATTCCCCTCCAAATGTGTTTTGTGATCCTCGGTGACCTTCAAAACTCTTCTCCTTACTGCACAACAAAGTGTTAACAATACATCCACCCTGCAAAAGTTACCAACGCTACCAACTGAAGAAAACAGGGAGTAAAAACGACACTAAATGTTTTTAACTGCAACTGAATCAGTGAAAAATCAACAGAAGCTCAAACTAATTTGCGTAAACTGTGCCAGCAGCTGCCAGCTGGACACTGCAGCACAGAGTGAAACGCAAAACTTGTAGTTTCAGTGTATAAAGGTCGCTCCTGTGTTCAGCAGCATTTGCCACTCCCTTCAGAGTGGGTGGGGGTTGCATCGAAGGTGGAGGGGTGATAATAAATTATTTAATTGTGCTGCATGTTTCTGTATCTCAAAGAAAAAAAGAGGCACTCAATCAGAGAGCATCACAGTGGACAGTATTTACATTTAAAAAAAAAAAGATTCATGTCAGATCTTAGAGTCGTTTTTGTTCTCTGGTTTGGGTTTTGGTGAGCACACTTATACTGGGTAATTAGTATCACGATTCCTATGAAGCAAGGCTGCAATGTGAGGCAGTTTCATTTGTGTCATAACTTCTAAAACGCCTCTAAATATCCTTCACACTATCTACAATACCCATTTATATATCGCTCCATCAGATATACATTTAAAAAAATAGTCTGTATGTGAGATGAAGTGATTTTGCAGCACCTATTCTCACTGACTCTCAGCTGCAACCTTGCAGAAGTGGAGTTTGAGGGAGGGAGGGAGGGGAGGGGAGGGGGTGTTGTCGGCGTTTCCCTCCAGACATACATCATTTCAGCCCAACCTACAGCTGCTACCACAGAGATGGAAACTACAGCATTGCGGGAATAACTTGAGACTGCATGCCGAGTCCTTCCTTCCGTACAGGAGACACATTCAGGTGACGGACTTTTCCTTTCTTTGGAGGGGATCATTATTCCTGATGTTAATGATGCGTAGAAGGAGCTCGGTCCTGCAGCTGTCTCTGGGTTAACCCCCGTCAACCTTGGAGAGAGCGGTGGCGTTGGACAGCCAGAACTCCTCGGAGCCGGCTGCTGCTGCTTCTGCAGAGCAAACCGGATCTCACGTCCAACCTGGAGACATTTTTTTTGCTGCATTCGCGATGGTCTGAGCGTGACTGCTGGGCGCTGAGCAGAGGCATCCCTCCCCTCTCTCTCTCTCTCTCTTTCTCTCTCTCTCTTTCTCCTTTCCTCCTCTCCCGCCTCCCCTCTCTGTCTTTCTATCTCTCTTTTCTTGTGGTGGGTTCAGCACAGGCTGCCCAGTGTGTTAGCCCCCTCTCTGCAGCGCTGGGGAAGCTGATAGCGATGGGACGAACCGGTTTCAGCACCACGGAGAGCGCCCGGCTTCTGCTGCTCGGTAAGAGAGAGTGTGTATGTGTGCGTGCGTGTGCGTGTATGCAGCTGTCGTGACTCCTTACTGCAGTGTGTGCGTGCGTGTGTGTGTGTACGTGCATGAGTGTGCACCCTAGGCATAACAGTGTGTGTGTTCTGGGTTTCTTTCCCCCTCACATGAATATAAAAGTCTTGTAAACATGATCAGAGTTGCGGTTCGTCACTTCCTGACGCGGCTCAGTCTGCAGCCAGTGGCGTGCTGTTGCTCCCCTGATACTGCAGATTTCAGTCTCCGGTGTTTTCACCTGGTTTTGACTTTGCCGTGAGGAAACAGAGGTGATGTGCCAGCGATCTGAAGATGTGAGCTAAACACACCGCTGTTTCTGCTGATTCTCCATGTTTGATGCGTGTGTGTGAGTGTGTATGTGTGTGTAGGTGTGTGTGTGTGCCCCCATCTGTTACCCCGCTGACATGAAGTGCCCCCACCTCCAACCTTTCTCATTGTCTGGCCAGGTGTGCTGGCGCTGTCCGTGGTGCTGGCGGAGCAGGAGGGAGAGAACCTGTCCGGTCTCTCCAACAACCCAGACAAAGCCATCTTCGCGGTCCGGGAGAACGGCACGACATGCCTGATGGTGGAGTTCGCCGTGAAATTCCTCGTGCCATATGACGTGCTCGCGCTCAATGGGATAGACGTAAGGGATCCCCCGTGCATTTTAATACATGTGGAAGCTTAAAAAAAGATAGAGACAGAAACGCACTCGCAGTTTGAAGCCTCTAAGCTGCATTACATGTTGCTTTGTGTTGGAGACGTTACGATTTGTGCGTAAAGGTGGTGCAGCACTGGAAACATGTTTTACATGCAACATATTTTGAACATTTATTCAAAATGGCAGTTTTTGCTCTCATAAATATGAAAAATGTCTGCTGATTACATTAGAATTGCATTTGCAAACTGCTTTTGTAGTGTGTATTCGTGCGCAAAATGCTGACGTCGTCGGACCCATCCTTAACAAAAGGAAGACATTATTCGATATCAGACTTTTTGATCATCAAATAAAATGAGTTTTCTTTATTTATGCTTGTTAGAACAACTTATTCAAATAACTCTGAATATTTATCACACTATAAGTTCGTGCGTAGAAATGGAATGATAAAGTGCATCCAGAGACATCAGGATGCGTAATCTGTCCCGATCTGTCGACTTTTTAAACAACATGCTTGTTTGTGTCTTTCTGCAGCTGATCACGGAGCAGGCTGTGTTCACATTGCCCCGTGGGGCAGAGATCGAGGGGAAATGCGGGAGCACAGAGTCAGAGATCCACATATCCTGGAAGAACAACGCCTACACACTCCGCATCTACTTCTCTAAGGTGGGCGACAACGCACCAGGGAAACGGCAATAATGCGTAAAATGTGCCACAGCGTGCCATTCCAAAAGTCTGAATCATCTCCAGGGAATATCAAGACGCCAACACTACGTCATACATCACCTGAATGTGTTTCACTAAATTTACTGCAACTCGGAATCATTTTTGTTGCGCAATGGACATAAGGAAATTCAATTTCCCTTTGAATCAAATGATCCTAAAGTGGAATCATGTCATTTGTAATGATGTCCTGAATTAAGGGAAATATTTTAGTTAAAGGGAAACTAATTCACTTAATCATGTTTTTAAGAACATTAATTTTTCCCCTAGGCCACCTTGCCCTCTCCACGCGGCGGAAAAGCCCAGTTTGACGCGTGTGTGTGTTTCTGTGTGTGTTGCAGGAGCTCCGTGAGAAGGGCATTGAGGTGTGGAAGATTAGTAAGGTCCAGTTCGTCTATGACACCTCGGAGACTTCGCAGTTCATCAACGCGTACAACCGTGAGTGTCCCGTGTGTACAGTGCCGCAGCTACTCAGCACATTTCAGTCCCGCCTGCTTTGATTGCAACTCGCTCTCACTGATGTCACATCTGTATTCACATGGAATTAGAGAACTGAGTCATGCGTGGATTTACGATTTACACCCACGTACATGGAAAAAAAAAATCACTGGAATTATTTCAGATTTTACTCCTAGGACTCTATTATTATTATTATTTTTATTATTATTTCTATCA